ATGCCTAGGCGCGGTTAGTTTTCGACGTGTTTAAAATTTAACTCATAAACTAAGTTTTAAAAAATAATATTGAAATTAACATGATTTTGGTTTTAAAAAATTAATTATTGTTTAAAAGTTTTAATGTATAAAATTTTTTATATGAAATTTCATGGTTTATTCTTTAAGTTTAAGTGTTAAATTTGTTTTAAATTTTAGTGAAAACTATTATTATTATTTTTAAATGAGTTTAAGTGTTAAATCTATATTACGTGAAAACATTACCGAACTTCGAACACCAAAGCTTACGGACCAACTAAGGACAGGATGCCTAGGCGCGGTTAGTTTTCGACGTGTTTAAAATTTAACTCTTAAACTAAGTTTTAAAAAATAATATTGAAATTAACATGATTTTGGTTTTAAAAAATTAATTATTGTTTAAAAGTTTTAATGTATAAAATAAATTTAACACTTAAATTAATTTTTAAAATTGTTTTATGAAATTTCATGGTTTATTCTTAAAGTTTAAGTGTTAAATTTGTTTTAAATTTTAGTAAAAATCATTATTATTATTTTTAAATGAGTTTGTGTGTTAAATTTATATTACGTGAAAACATTACCGAACTTCGAACACCAAAGCTTACGGACCAACTAAGGACAGGATGCCTAGGCGCGGTTAGTTTTCGACGTGTTTAAAATTTAACTCTTAAGCTAAGGTTTTAAAAGTTAATTATTGTTTAAAAGTTTTAGTATGAAATTTTTAAAAAATTTTAGTTAAAATTATTATCATTTTTAAAAAAATATTACTTGCAAAAAAATACCTTTTTAAAATTTAACAATACTTAGACTAATTTTAAAGCCAAAAAGAAAAAAGAATGTAAAAGATAATACCTGGTTGGGATTGGGTAGCAAAGAGAGCCCATGAAACAAAGCCATCGCCAAAGCCAGACCGTCTGGCGGGAAAATACGTAATCATATTTTTGGCGGGAAAATGCGAAATCTCGTTCTTGGCGGAAAAAATTATGGAATTGCGTTTTTGGCGGGAAAATGTTGAATCACGTTTTGGCGGAAAAATTTATTTCATGGTTTTAATAGTTAAATCATGTTTACTTTGGTTTACTAAAATCGGTTTACACATTTGATTTGGTTATATTTGGTTTACACATTTGATTTAGAATGTTTAATCTTTATTGGTTTGGTTATGAGTAATCCATTAATCCATTCTAACATAAACTATTTCAATCCAATTCATTAAACTCACTAATCCATTAAATCCATTAATCCATTAAGATCCAAATTTCTCATTCATTATATCCATGGATTGGATTGGTTTGGATTGATCCATTAACTTTTATCCATTTTGACACCCCTAGCCAGACGTGAGCCCGTAATTACAACGGCACATGAAGAAACAATCTGCTCCACCGTGAATCTCTCACCACTCTCCTCACCCAAACCATCCCCAAGCGCGCTATAATAGTACTGCAAAGCCTCCACGAATCTCCCTAAAAAGCTTCCTCCATCGTCGTAGCTCAATTTTTGCTCCACCACCGTAATCAGATTCGGTTTCAGCTTCCGTAAAATCTCCAACGTCTCGAGATCGTTCCGGGTGACGTCATATAACCGGTGTTGCATCTAGTGAACCACCACGGCTTCGCCTTGTCTCGGATCGATTAGGTTTCCGATTTTTCCTTCAATTGGTTGAAATTCGAAAGGGAGGTTTAACGATGATGCGAAGTCGGCGATCCGATCAATGAGATCATTCAATCATCTGCGATCTATTGAGAAGATAACTGAAAAAGAAATAGATGATAAATTTTGTGTGTTTGGTTTTCTTTCTCGAAGAAGAAGATGAAGGATAGTAGAGAATTTTGATTTCTCACGAAGAGGAAGAGAAGAAGAAGAAGAAGAAGAAGAAGAAGGTTTTTTAGCCGTTACAAGGTTTTGTGATTTTGTAGATATTGTATAGATTTTCTAGCCGTTACAAGGTTTTGTGATTTTGTAGATATTGTATAGATTTTCTAGCCGTTACAAGGTTTTGTGATTTTGTAGATATTGTATAGATTTTCTAGCCGTTACAAGGTTTTGTGATTTTGTAGCTTTAGCTCTGTATAAATATGTGAACCTTATTATGTAGAAGCTGCGGAGTCTTTTCTTGATTAAATAAAGGAAATTTTGTTAACAAAAGCAATCATCACAAAAATTTCCTTTTTTTTTTTTAAGGTTGAGTATTTTCCTTTTTTTTTGTTGTTTCCTTTTTTTTTTTTTTTAACCTTTTTAATATATTTGGGGGCTTTAATTAATTAATTAAATACACAGAGTAAGATGAAGAATATCAACTCCATTCCCTTAGGAGGTCTCTGATGCTTATATAATGTGCACGTTCGTTGAGGAGCTAAGAAGAATCAGATGGTCCAATTAACCAAGAGATTGACCCGATAAAACCATTCATGGGACCAGCGTGAGTCAGAGGAAAACTAAAACTTTGTTCTTTTTTTTTTGTCTTTTCATTTCAGTTGTCATAGTGGTTTTTCCAATATGGTTTTGGTTTGGTTGGTTAAACTGGATCGACCATCCCTACATTAAACAAACAATTCTGAACAAGTAACTGGAGCTATGATTAGTTTGTAAACTCTATTTATCGTTTATGGAGCAAATGGAGGTAAAGGAAGTGGTTCCATGTATCAGGAACACCAGGGAGACACCAATGACTGCAATCTTGGACAGCTTTTGAACGCCGGTTTTCGGGTTTTGTTCCGTAAATAGACGGGTGGGCGTCAATTCTGTACTGAGATAAACCGCTAACGTTCAAGAGGGTTACCGGTGTTCTCATCTGCTTCAGTACTTCCTCAACAATGGACTTTTTGCTCGAGTAACTCGGTTTGAAGGTTTGGTTCAACGGCATGTTGGCTTCTCTGCAGTGACCTCCTGAGTTCCATTCTCCTCCACTGTCCAAAGAAGCAATACATAGATAATAAATTGAGAAGAACAAAAATATCTGTCTTTCAAAACAACAAGTAGAGAGAGACAGGTGAAAAACCTGAAATGAGAAGGTGCAGCGCTTCTAAAGAAAACGCGAGTTTTCTTCGGGTCGACATTTTTGTCAACCCATGATGACCAAGTCTGCAAAGCTTTCTTGAAAGCGGTTGATACATCGAGCTTGGGATGAATCTGGTCTCCTTCTTGGTAATAGTTGACCCTGCAAACTTAAACTAATCAATCATTATCTTGATTCCATTCTTCTTCTGATGTTTTAAAGTGAAAAAGTACTGACCCCGATTTGGTTTTGTAATGAGACCACCAATGAGCTGTATTGAACACTAAGATATTAGCACCTTTCCATCTCGAAGAGGTTCGATCCATAGCATCGATTCTAAGTGTTTCTCTTCTCTTCTTTCCTATTCTTGCTCTACCCTCACGAACCAAGAAATGAGTAACATAGAATTCCACAGTGCATTTATAATCCTAGTCAAGTACACAAACACAACATTAACACAATCACAGATCTAGATACACTTATGGTCCATTGAGATTATTTATAGTCATGTACCACGAAACGGAAGCTGTAATTCCCTTTCTCTTTTGTGATTCTTCGGTTGTGGATTTCGTAGACTCTCTTGGGATCTTTAACAGCTTGAAACAACAAACAAAGCATAGATTCCCACTGGTTCCTATTAATTGAATCTCCAACGAACACTAGCCTCTTCCCTCTAATCATTTCCAGCATTTTTGTAGCATTGAACCTAAACTCACACATACCAAAAATGACCACAATTTCAAAAATCAGGACCATGAAATGATTAACTGCTCAGTGGAACAATGAATCACAATTATCATCATCAGTCACTATCACCAATCATTACCACTCCAATAGAGAGATCTTCTTAAGGTCTAAGAGGAAAACAACAAAAATTAGAAAGAAGAAGTTAAACCTGGGAGCATCACAATCTTGAGGCTCCCATCTCCAATTCATGTAATTAAGATTCAATCGTCCATTGCTTTGACAACTAAATCCTTCATCGATAAAAGGACAAGACGCATTTGTGTACAATGGATAGTCGCTATCGTAAACCCACTTCCCTTTCGTAACATCACACTCTTCGATTCTCTTCTTTGTCTTCTCCTCACCATTGTTGCTCGAAACTTCAACCACTTTAATCGAAGTTAAATTAGCAATTTCCCTAACTTCCTTAACCAAACTCTCGCCGCGAATCTTCTGCTCAAAAACTGAAATTTTTGAAGACCCGGAAGTGTTTTCGGGCGAATTGAAATGGGTAGAGATCGGAACCGGGCTTGCTTGAGGAGAAACTGAAGAATCGGAGACGGCGGCCAAAGGACTTAAATCGATCTGGAAGTTAGAGTCTGGTGTTGGGTAAAGAGAAGAGTTAGATTTGATTAAGGAAGAGGAGAAGAAAGTGAAGAAAACAATGGCGGAAGAGATTGTTGTGATGATGAATGCTAAGACTCTCGTGGACTTCACAGAGATGCTCCTTTGTCTCTCCATCTCTCTCTCTTTATTTTTTTCTCTGTAACTGTTAACAACTTAGTGAAGAAAAAAACAGTCTCATAATTATCTGTATCAGAGAATTTGAAATCGAAATGCAAATATTTGAGAAAAGGATTGAAATTTGGAGTCGTCAGAGGTGGTTGAGTTCGTGGGGACGTGGGGTATTGAGAAAGTCAGAAAGAGAGATTCGGTGAAGAAATGATAATGACGTTCTTACAAACTCGTGAGCTCATGAATTTTACAATAATTAACAGAAAAAGAGGGAAAGATAATGATTATTTTGATTTAAAATTCAGGATTAGGAAATTACTAGTGTGACAGATTGGATTTGGCATTTAACGTGGTGGGACACTCGGGGGACATTGGATTGGAATTGGTTTTTTTTTTTTTTTTTTTTTTTAATTTCCATAAATACCGATAGAAGAAAGAAGAGATCAGGCCCATACATTTCGGCTTTTTAAAGCCCATGGATAAGAGGTTAGGCCCAATAAGACACGAATGGAGAGTAGAGAAGTGATTCTCTGCTTACGCAGTTTTCAATCACCATTTCGTTTTCGTCGTGAGCTTCTCTCTCGTTCATCGACACAATCTGATTCGGTAAAGTCCATATTCTTCCCTTGATGATATATGTTGTTTCCTTTATAATTTTGGGGTGATTTTCGTTATAGATAGATATGTGGCGGATTGTGAAGTGACGATTAATTTTTATCAGATTCGAATCGATTTCTCTTTTTTTTTTCCCGTGTAGATCGGTGTGATTACGATCGGAATTTGTCGCTGGTTCTCTTAGGATTGTGATTCTTTGAAAAAATTAATCCTTTTATTCGGGAGAAATGCCAATTTTATTTCGTGTTTCAGTATCTGGATTCTTTGGATTAGGGTTCTTGTACCATTTTAGTAATAAATCAGAAGCCTTTGATATCTTCCATTATTTAGAGCCGTAATTTAGAGATCAGATAGAAAAATGGATCGAAATTTTACATGTTTATGTATATAAATAGACTCCAAGTGCATACCAGGAGTAGAAATTGCTTTGAGAGCTTATCTGATCAAAAAGAGAGTGTGTGTGTGTAGATGTTATGTTGGTTGTCAATAAAGTTTTCAGCTTTAGGAATCGTGAGCATTGTGAAGGTCTCAATTATGTTAGTGGTGACTCTATGATTAAAATTTGTGGTAGGTTGAGAAGAAATGGCAGGACACAAGGTCGCGCATGCCACATTGAAAGGCCCAAGTGTTGTGAAGGAATTGATTATTGGTTTGACACTTGGTTTAGCTGCTGGTGGTCTCTGGAAGATGCACCATTGGAATGAGCAGAGGAAAACCAGAACTTTCTATGATTTGCTTGAAAGAGGTGAGATCAGTGTTGTCGCCGCTGAAGAGTGAATGAAATGCCTCCCTCTCACTCTCACTATATGTTGTTGGCTTGATTTTTCTGTTTTATTGTTTCTTGAGATCTCAGATAAGTTACCTAAGACAATGGTTGCATGAGAAATAAACAATCAATCTGAGATCAAAATTGGAGAGTTCACATTGTTTTCCAGAGATACATGATTCAACTTCAGACATCTTTCTTGAATTTTCCACTTTTTTTATGTTTCTTTTCATTTCCAGATTGATCCGTTTATATGATGACATTTTTTATATAAAATATCTAACGAGCACCAGTGTTCTTAGAAAACGGCTTGGATGGCTGCAATTTTTCAACGTCGTACTGCTACATAAAAATATGTTTTATCGAGGAAATTATTTCCATAGCTCGATCGGAAAAAAAGATATCACAAGAGGTAATTAAAATACGTGGAACTTTATTGTTGGTTAACAGAGGATAAGAAATGGGGTTCACAGAATTAAATTCACGCACACTTCATATATCTTGTTCCTCCCATTTATCTGAAATATCTTCTTTTATCAAAAAATTGTATTCAAAGGCTGCGTGTATCTTCTCCATCCAAAGATGGCAACAATAGCTACTAGTCTTAACATTGCAACCCAACGTGTCATCGTCACCAGCGAGAATAGACCAGTTCTTCTCGCCGGTCCAGTCCATTTGAACAATCCGTGGAATCTTGGGTCAAGAACAACCAACCGGATGGTGAAACTTAAGCCGATTAGAGCAGCACCGGAAGGAGGGATATCGGATGTAGTGGAGAAAAGCATTAAGGAAGCTCAGGAGACTTGTGCGGGCGATCCTGTGAGTGGAGAGTGTGTAGCTGCGTGGGACGAGGTTGAAGAGCTTAGCGCTGCAGCTAGCCACGCTAGAGACAAGAAGAAATCCGATGGTTCGGACCCTTTGGAGGAATACTGCAAAGATAATCCTGAGACCAACGAGTGCCGTACTTATGACAACTGAAGCGATCAAGATCATGTTCCAGTCAATTCGGTAATGTAAGGTGATATGAATGCTGTCTTTGTAAGTCTCAATTACCTCTAAAAACATTTGTAATTTGTAGTTCCATAAACGAATACAAAAGGCAAAATATCAAAAGAGGTAAATGCGCAGAGAACAATAAGAAAGCTTGAATTCAATAAGAAACACAGTAGACACAAATTACATGAGACAAGACTAGAGAGGACTATGGCTACAAAACCATACAAAGACACGGACAATATGAAATTGCAGAAACTTAAGAGACTTGACAACACAGGACTCATTGACCAATGACACACTAAATGTTACAAAACTCCAACCACCAGAAAAAGAAAAACCAACAAGGACAGTAAGTAAAACAGACCAAAGACTCCATCTCAATGCTTCTTTGTGGATCCTTAAGGTAGGAATGAATCATCCTCAGCAATCAAACATATCAGCAGAAGCCCTGATTGGCTGCATTGGACAAGGCATCTGCCAAGGGTTCTGCATAGACTCAGGAATCTCAGGAATATCCAAAGCCTGACCACTGATTTCTTCAACCATCTCAAGCACAGAGTTCAATGATCTTAACCTATCCGTTAACTCCAAAGCCTGTGCTCTCAAGACATTGTTCTTAGACTCCATTTCAATGTATTTCTTTGAAGCTTCATCAACTTGCTCGGTGATTTTAGCGTTATCATTCTTGAGAAGAGTAACTTCATTGATCAAATCACCAAGTTGCTTCTGTTTCCTCATCCTTGATCTACGAGCAGATTCTCTGTTGGAGATCATTCTCTTCCTCTTCCTCTCATCCGTAACCGTCGCGTACCTCGGATCATTATCGGATTCAGGACTTGTTTGCCTTTGCAACGACCCCATTTCGTTGACTTTTTGACTTGTTCTCACCAAAAATTAAAATCAATATAATATTCTTCTTCTTCTAGAAATATTATATTCCTATAAAAACCCCCAAATTCTTAGGCACAATCTGAAAATTCCCCGAATTCTAAATCTATCAAAGAATAAGTTAGATCAAAACGAAAAAGATGAGATCGAGAACGATTATTTCATGAGAAAACGTATGTGTAGTAGAGGTAAACGACGGAGAAAGAGTGTAGAATTCGAATCCGACGAAACAGGATTGAGTAGCTCATAGAATCATTCCTAATATTTTTTTTTCTTCAAAATTCCCAAAAACCAAACCCTAGATCAGAACCCGACGAAAAAAAAAAAAAAAAAAAACTAGATCTAGATCTAGATCTGAGAACAGAACAGAAGGAAACGAATCAAAAGATGAGTTATCTGAGAAACAAGAATTGAACAAAACTTAGATGAATCGAGAAGATTGATAAACTTAAAAAGATTATATTAGGATTCAAAGGCCAAACGAAAGAAGGCGATGAAGTAACACCAGGCTATCCTTTTAAAGGAGAAGATGATGATGAGCTGGCTTAGCCTTTTTCTTTGTTTTTTAATATTTTAATAAAGGAAGATAATAACTTTTGGTCATAAAATCTTTTTTTTTTTTCTTTAAGCGCAATTTGGGGTGACTGACGACAGCTGTGACGCCAGCTGGAATTTTATAAGGGAAGCACGTTTTGTTGAGGGAAGTTTCTCCGTCTGTTCACAGATGGAATATTCCACCAAGATGCCTCTTAAGAAATTATCAAATGAGTATAATAGTATATTGCTAAGTATTAATCAAATATTGATTTTTTCCTAACGAAAGCAATGTCTAACACACTATTCATAAGCGTAAATATAAGACGACCATTAACTATAATGAAAGTCTACCAGATGGTTGTTTATATGCCGCTCTCTTTGATTAAAAAAGCTATATGTTGACGTGATGATTACATCATTTTAATTGTTTACTGATCACGATTTTAATTGTTTTTTTTTTTTTTTTTTCAAAACACAGACAGATGTTGGCAAGTTAGCTCGCGGGCTTTTTAATAGGCTTAATTGATCTCATGGGCCTAGCCTCTCCCTTACAAACTCGACAAATAAACGACACAGCAGCAAGTTCGAAATAAGGAACACGCCAAGCTGTGTTTGATTCAGATACAGAACAAAACAAATCAGTCCTTGGCTCATGTCAACAAAAGTTTGATCATCTTAAGATTGCTTCTCTAACACTCATCACAAACTAGAATCTAACCTTATGCTCAGTCCTAGCTGAATTCAAATTTCAGCAGACTTAAACAGAGTTTGAATGCACGTTTATCAAAATCTAAGAAAGATTTTAAGAGTGTGATACAAAAACAGACCAATTCTCTCATGTCAATAAACGGGAAACACCTTAATTTGTTTCTGTAATCAGATACGTGAAGATTTTGTTAAAGAGTGCTTGACCCAAATTTTGCACTTGGACGAATATCTCGGAAGCATTAGGAGATCCACCGTGATCTGAAGCTTTGTGTCATCTCTTCTTGGCTTAAGATGAACTACCAAAATCTCAAGACTCGCCAATTTCTCCAACATGTGCTTTATTTGCACCATCTCTCCTATATCTCCTTTACACTCGGTTATCTTTAAGACCTCAATAGAGCATGACGATAGAAAAGAATACCCCTCCAAGCATTCGCAAACTGATTCCACATTCCCACGATCATCATCCTTATAGTGCAAACTACCCTGAAAAAACAAAACAAAAAGGGAAATTTTTGAGATTTTATGAATTACCTATTTGTCCAGTGCAGTACCTGCGGTCATACCTTGATGGTGATAGTCTTTAGATTTGGATATTTGTTTAGGAGAACTTGCGAACCGATCCAACAGATACTTTGTTGAGCTGGAATTGATAAATGAAATAGGTTTTCATACAGATTCAGCCATCTCTTTGAGAGAAGTGCAGTGAATGCAGCCTCTTTAGCTGAAAAGAAGGACCCGATGTGGCCAATAATCTCGTCTGGTAGGTTGCTGATCCTATCCATGCTTCGTTAACGCTAGAGAATACTACTCTCAAAAACTCTCTTCTAATCTTCAAAACCCTAAACCCTAGCCAACTTCGCTAAGTAACCCCTTCTATGTGACCATCATTCGTCATCACGCCTTATTATGTAGATTAATCCTAAATTGATTTGCTTTGGATTTATCCCCCAAATAATATATATAAAAAAAAAAAAAAAGAATTTGCTTTGAACCGGTTTTCAAACATGAAAAACCAAACGGACCACTCGAACCAAAGTCAAATCTGAGGATACGATAGAATTTGAGGCTCTCTTGGTGGTTGTTCAATGATGGAGTGATGATTATTACATTGACATCAGTGAGACGGTACACGATTTTTAAAGTTAGCTCCTAGGCTTTCTAATGGGCTTTTAGCCTCTCCCTCTTAACAGCTCGAATGTTTCACAAACAACGACGACACAACAGAAGGTAATCAGAGATAACAAAACAATCATCAAGCTGTACGATTCAGAACAATAACAGATGCGGAAATACAAAACGAACCAGTTCTTATGTCAACAAAAGTTTGTATCTTATTAGATTGGCTCCCTCAATACTAACCATAGACTAGATTGCATCCTGATGATCAGTCCTATCTGAATGAATAATCATTTCCGACTTCCAACATACTAAAGCAAAAGTAGGAAATATTAGGAGTTTGCTCTTAGTTACCAATTTAAGAAAACTTGACTTGGATTTTGCACTTGGACGAAGCTTTGGGAAGCATTAGTAGATCCTCCATGACTTGCATTTTTTTGTCAACCGTTACCTGAGCACGAATCTTCACCAGCTCAAGACATGACAGTTTCTCCAAGAAATGCTTCATTTGCTCCAGCTCTCCGATAGTTCCCCTGTACTCGTTTATCTTTAGGACCTCCACATGGCATGACAATAAGAAAGAATACTTCGACACACATGGGCAAAGGAATCCAGATACTTCTCTATAATTACGACGAATCTCATAGTGCAAGGAGTCCTGAAACAAGAGGGAGGATTTGAGATTCAAGATTAGATGAGAGTATCTTTATTGTTCTCAGTCTTTTGTTTGTCCAATGAACTTCTGAGGTTTAGGTCATACCTCAATGATGAGAGTCTCTAGATTTGGAGATTTCTTTAGTAGAATTGGCAGGGAATACCAGCAGCTGTCAGAAAAGCTAACGGATGCATGAACCAAGTTTTCAAACACTGGAATTTCTTCACTGAAGACATCAAGCATCTGAAACATAATAAATTCAACTAGTCATCAATCAATTGCAACCAATGGTTCAAAACCTCGAGAAATTGATTCTTATATCTCAACGGTTCCAAATATAACTTATCTTCTTGTTCTTTTACTTATTAAGCTGCAGAGTAACATATCAAAGAGAAAAAAAAAAAAAAAAAAAAAATAGAGCGCACTTACTTCCATAGTTTGAATAGTTAAGCCCAGAATCTGAACATTTTTTAACCCATCAATTAGATTCATTGGATCAAAATCTTCTGTATGACTTTCATCCCAGACAGCGTTTTCGTCCACATGAAGATCGAGCTGAGCTTCCACAAGGGAGTTGAGATTTACAATTAGATACTCTTTTGGAACATAATCGGAGTACCCTAAATAGGTAAGACCAGGAGTATCAAAACTAATGCTCTCGTTATTATAGGGAAGACCCCGAGGATCCAAGCTCTCATAATCAGGGTTATCTTCAAGATACCACACTTTACGTCGAATAGAAAGTCTTTGAAGGGACGGACTGGACACAGTGCGGGACCATTTCCAACGTTGCCATTCGAAACTATCTATGACTAATACCTCAAGTATAGGGGATGCAGAAAGAAGCGTTCCGAACGCACAACCACCAAAATCAAAGAACCGAACTGAATCAAGAATGAGAGACTTGAGAGCAGGCAGAAAAGCATCCTTAGGGAGAAAGTCAATAACAAAATCAGACCCTAGTGAGAGTTTAGTAACTGTCTCGCAAGTGAAAACTTCAGAAGGCAGTGAATACCCTTGTTTACCATTTACCCACAGATGAAGATCCACGACCCCACGCTTGAGCACATTACGTAGACAACGGTTGATTAGATCATAATGAGCACGCTGATCAGTATCCTCACCAAACCACCATTTTAGAGAGAACTTGTTTACACGAGAACTGGCTGGAAGAGCATTACTCTGTCCACAAAATCCGCAAAACTTTCTCCATCCTTATCAAAATAAAGATCTGGTAAGATGGTAAACAGATTATGCCAACGCTTAGAGAGAACCGTCGTGAACGCAGCCTCCTTCGCCGAGAGAAATGACCCGATGTGGCAAATAATCTCGGTTGGAAATTGCTGATCCTATCCATACTTTCGCAAAACCTAGAGAACCCTTTTTTACTACTAAAAAGAAAACAACTCAGTTTCTAATGGAGCCTCCAGCGACTATAACTAGATACATCACTAAAGCAGATTACCTTAATCAGTCTACACGAAACTGGAATCCAGAAATCTTCACAAGCGCATATATGCAGAAAATGAAGAATTAGAGCGAACAGCAGAACTTAGAGAGGATATTTGAAGAAACTGAGGTACCAATGCCATGAATGTTGATGCCTTCAAAGCGAATTTGACGAATGGCGAGGAACTAGAGCAGAGTTTGGACTTTAGAGTTTCTTCAAAATCCCTAGCTTTTTCAAGTTCACAATCCTCTGTGCACAAGACTTTGTTACATGGATTTTTCCACTGTAAACGTGCCACGTGTATATGCATGTTGGCTTTTCAAATTTACTATACCATTTAATAAACCAAACCGAATCAGAGTCAAATTGAGGAGGATACAATTACGATTTTAGCGGTTAATTAAAAATTCTTTCTCGTTTGCAGCAAAGTTCATTGCTAAAAAACAAACAATCAAATCAACAAATTACTTAACAACAGAAGTAAATCCAAAACTGTGGATGTTAAATCCCCAAAACTTTTTATTCATTGGAATATCTTTCTCTTTTATTCTTGCCAATAATAGACCTAAATGTAGCTTAGCCTGTGTCTTACAAACTCGAGTGCTTTAAGCGCAAAACACACAAAAAGGAAAACCAAGCTGTTCTATTCAGAGCAATATCATGTACAAAAGATGCAAAACAAAACAGTTCTCATGTTGAGGCAACAAACTCTTGTTTGTTCAAACGAACTTGACCTGGACTTTGCATTTGGATGAAGCTCTCGGGAGCATTAGGAGATCCGCCAAGATCTGCAGCTTATTGTCAACTCTTTTTTCCTCAACATGAACTTCCAACAGCACCAGACACAGCAAATTCTCCAAGACATGCTTTATCTGCACCATTTCTCCGATCTGTCCACTGAAATGGGTTATCTTTAGGATCTCAATATGGCAGGACAAAAAGTAGGAATACCCCTCCAAGCATTGGCAAACAGATGTTAAATGATAGTCTTGATAGTAGTGCAAAGCCTGCAAAAAGACGGGAATTTTGAGACTGAAGATTTTCTGAGTCCAATGAACTTTTGGGGTTTTTGGTCATACCTCAATGGTGAGAGTCTTTAGATTTGGAGAACTTTTAAGAAGAATATACAGAGCATCCCAACAGATAGCTGGATCAGTACTAACTGATAAATGAAACAGGTTCTCAAACACTGGGACTGCTTCCCTGAAGGCCCAAAACAGCTGGAACAGAATTGAAAAAAAACAACAACTAGTCAGTCATAACTTCAATAAACATTCTAACGTCTAGAAAGATTTTTGATTTTAATATCTCAGTGGAGTAACAGATTAAAGAGAACACTTACCTGCATCGTGTCAACAGCTCCTAAGCGCAGAATCTGAATATTTTTTAACCCCTTTATCAGATTTCTAACATCATACGACTCCCCAATATAAAGAGGAGGAAGTTCTAGCTTAGCTTCAACAAGGGAGTTGAGATAAACAACTGGATACCTATCTCGGAGAACATCAAAGTATTCAAAGTATTCAAGACTCGGAGTATACAAACTGAAAGGCTCAAAACTATTGCCATTATGAACCCATTCTTCACGCCGAATAGTAAGTCTCTTAAGGATCTGACTAGATACAATGCGAGACCATTTCCAATCTTCACAGTTGTGGCCATCTATGACTAACTCCTCGAGCACAGGGCAAGCAGAAAGAAGCCTTGTAAACGAACAACCACCAGTATTATCGAATTCGAACCGAACTGAATCAAGAAGGAGAGTCTTCAGAGCAGGAAGCAAAGCATTCTTAGGGAGAATGTCAATAACAAAACCAGACCCTAGTTTCAGTTTCACAACGCTCTTGCAAGTGAAGATCTCAAAAGGCAGTGAGTAATCTCCTTTGACATTGATGTCCAGTTCAAGATCCAAGACACCACACCCCAACACTTGGCGTAAACAATCGTTGACAATACTATACTGAGAAAAATCCAAAGACTGCAACTTTAGAGAGAATCTCCTCATACGGTGACTGGCACGTCGAGCCAATTGTATTCGATCAGCAAAATCTTGGAAACTTCCACTAATGGCAGAAAAGGAGGAATCAACAACAAGCGGTATGATATTAACCAGATTCAGCCATTTCTTGGAGGCATACTTCAAGCAAGTAGCTTCTTTTGCCGAAAGGAAAGAGATTAGATGATACTTAAGTTCAATTGGTAAATTACTGATTCTATCCATTCTTTTCGCAAACCCTAAAGAACCCTCTTTCACTACCCAGAAAACCTCAATTTCTAATGGAACCTTCAGCGAATTGACTCCAACATCAACCGCAATTGACAAACTATATCAATTTCAAAGCATACGAGAGCTTACTTCACATGTCGAAATGAAGCAGAAACCCAGAAATCATCGCAGTCGCGTTTATGCAGAAACAAGAAAACCGAAGCGAAATCTGCAGAAATTGGGTAGACGACGACTCAATCTGCAGAAAGATTTCTGAAGCGAAACTGAATCTTCAAAGAGAAATTGACGAAGAACTAGAGCAGAGTCGTAGCATTTTCTTGAAAGCAGAGAAAACAAAGGAAGACGACAAGAGAAATTTTGAATTTTTATTATTCGATCAATTTTGCTCTTTTTTATACTCGGATACAAAAACAAAGCATTTAGCTTTAAAGCCAATCATTTTGCGCCAGCTGTAATCAGCTACTCCCAACGCAAATTCCGGTTTAGTTTAGGTTTAAATTAAGTATTAACCAAATCAAAAATTCTTAACTCCTTTTCATTTTAGCAATGTTGAACACACGATTCATAACCGTTTTTATGATTATATATAAAACGACAGTTAATTATCACCAAAGCCTATCATACTAGTTATCTACACGAAGCTCTCACCCTAAACAAGTAAACAGAGTTCAGAAGTTAGCTCGGGGGCTTACAAAAACTCGACTGTTTCACGAAAAAAATAAATTATACAACAGCCACTTAGAGGTACGAAGGTGCAAAGCTGTTTGTATCAAAGTTTGTACGTAAAAGATTGAAAAATAAAAACACAAACTTTCTTATGCCAAACAGAGTTTTACCTAATTTTGCTGAATTAACGAACAAAAAGACTCAAGCCAATCTAGGAAACGACCTCGAATTTGCACTTGGACGAAGCTCTGGGTAGCCTTTGAAGATCTGCTATGAGTTTCAGCTTTCTTTCACCAGTTGCTTGAGAATGTATTTCCACGAGCTCAAGACATAACAATTTCTCCAAGAAATGTTTCATTTGCATCAATTCTCTAAAGCAACCATAGTACTCGGTTATCTTTAGGACTTCCAAAGGACATGATACTAGGAAAGAATACTCTGCCACGCACTCGCAAACAATATCTCCTGCACAACGATAGTAACTCTCATAGTGCAACTGTGCAAGGGACCCTGAAACAAGACGCAGAAGACTTGAGATTCAAGGTTATATATGAGTATCTAATGAACTTTTGGGATTGCACTCATACGTACGTTGATGTTGAGAGTCTTTAGATTTGGAGCTTTCTTGATCAGCATTGGCATAGAAGACCAACAGAAGTTAGAGAGGTTAACAGTTAAATGAGACAGCTTCTCAAACACTGGGAGTGCTTCACGGAAGACATAGAACATCTGAAACATATACATAAGAAAACCAACCAATTACAGTATTAGAAACATAAGAACTACCTAGCAAGATTTTGATTCTTATACGTCAAATAATAAATGTTCCAAAATGTATAGCATTTTTAGAAAAGTAGTTGTAAAATTTTAAAGAGAGTGAAAACGATACCTTTGCAGTCATGATAGTGTACAAGTTAAGAGTCTCGACATTTTTTAGCCCATGAAGCAGATTCATTGGATTGAAACGTTTTTCATCTCCTTCACCCCACATATAATTTTCTTCCGGACAAAGATAGAGCTTAGTCTCAACAAGGGAGTCGAGATTAACACTTAGATACTCTTTAGGAACATAATCAGAGTAATATAAGTAGGCAAGACTCGGAGTATCAAAACTAATGCTATTAAAATCAGAATCATCAAAAGCATCCCACTGTTTACGCATTATAGTAAGTCTCTTAAGGCTAGAACGAGACACAGTGCGGGACCATTTCCAAAGTTCCCAGTTTACACCACACACGGTTAGTTCCTCGAGCACAGGAGACGCATCAAGAAGCGTTTTGAACGCACAACGACCAAACTCATAGAACCGAATGTAATAAAGAGGGAGAGTCTTGAGCGCTGGAAGAAGAGCATTCTCGGGGAGAATGTCAATAGCAAAACTAGACCCTAGTGAAAGTTTAGTAATTGTCTCGCAAGTGAAAACTTCGAAAGGCAGTGTATATCCTTGTTTTCCATTTATCCACAGATAAAGATCCACGACCCCACGCTTGAGCACATCACGTAGACAACGATTGATTTGATCAAACTGAGCAGGCTCAGTATCTTCATCAAACCACCATTTCAGAGAGAATTTGTTTACAGGAGAACTTGCTGGAAGAGTCATTACTCTGTCCACAAAATCAGTAAGACTTTCTCCATCCTTAACCGAACAATCAAAATGAAGATCTGGTACGATGGTAAACAGATTATGCCAACGCTTAGAGAGAACCGTAGTAAACGCAGCCTCCTTCGCCGAGAGAAAGGACCCGATGTGGCAAATAATCTCGTCTGGAAGATTGCTGATCCGATCCATACTTTAGCAAACCCTAGAGACCTCCCTTGTAATCTTCAAAACCCTAGCCCGCTTCAAGTGAATAATCTAGGACCACAATGCATTATATAGATTAATCCAATGTAAACGTGCCACGTGTTTGCCTAGCTTTCGTTTTCCCGCTAGCCATTCTTGAAATTTTAATTACTTGTCCTGACTTGGTTTGCCTAAACCGACCACTCTAACCAAATTTGGATACGGTAGCGTTTTGGGGTTTTGGACATTGTTATCATTTGAGAGAGACTTTGAAGAAAGAAGAAGCAGATCAAAACAAATTACAACCACGGTGAACTAAAACCCTTCCGGGCATAAATCTTGGGTTAAATCTTTGCTTCACCGGGAAAGTATCTTAGAAATTGTATCTCTGGATGATGAAGACGAGATTTCTGGATTGGTATTTGAAGATCGCGATTGGATCGGCCATTATCGGCGGAGGCATGGAATTCTTCATGATCAAGACTGGTTTCTGTAAATTCCCATCTTTCAATTCTTTCTCGCTTTCAATTTTATGTTTTTTTCTCCATAACTCTAGATCGAAAATTGCTTGACATGGTTTCTGTGAGCAGTTTAATTTCACAGGATTTTGGATAGAAATGTTAAGCATTTTTGGTTTATGAGGACTTTTATACTTAATCTCTAGTCTGATCTTGTAAGAATGCTTATTGATATTGAAGATTCTTACTTTCCATCTTTCGATGAATTACGGAAACTTGCAGACGACAAGGTTACTGTAATAGAAGCAGAGAGACGGGCGTTGGAAAATTCTCCTGAAGCTCAAGCCATGAGAGAAGCTCTTAATCCTTGGAGGAACAAGGACGCAGAAACAAGCAAAACCCCATAAATCAATCAAGGAGCTCTTTAATTCTCGTTAGGTTCATTTCACTCTCAAAACTTTTGCAAATGCTGCTTCAGTTTCTTTCTGTTTGAGACTTCAAAATTTCATTTTTGCCAAATGCTAAGTGCAGCATCTCCTGACCATATACTTACATGTTACCAAGATAGGAGATGCTTATATATTAAGGTCAAACCATAAAAGATTCTTAAGTCTTGTGTATGCACAAGTTATATATCTAAAAGAATACAAGACTAGTTTTGAAATTTTGATCAACTACTATCACTCATAGTATGCTTAGGTTTACATTATACGCATATGTTTATGTGTGTTTCAACTATAAACCCACTATTGTAACATGTTACAATGATATGGCAGATAATGTGTTGCTGTTCAGGCAAATGTTATAGTACAAAGAGCAGAGACATGTTTGAGTTTTGGACTTGATAAGTAACCATACATGTTGTATTCATGTTATAAAACAGCTTGTGTTCTCTCCATTCGTATATTGGCTTCCTCATGCTTCTCAATGGGTTCTCATTGAGCCATTAGAACCTCAAGTGTTGGCTGCAATATTATCCAAGCTGGGGGAGTTAAGTCTGTGTTATTGAATCAAGTAAAAAGTTGTGGCTCAAAAACCAACAACCATTTACCCATTAAAAAAGAGTTGAAATATCCACTTAAGATCCCCAAGTCATCAATCTTCCATGTTTGAATTTGGTTCTAGTCTTCACAAATATCATCTCTACTGCAGCAAACTTACCAGAGAACTTGGCTCTCTGTGGCAATTCCCCAAATATTGCTGACTGTCCTCCTCTGTTAAAATCAGCAGCAAACTTGTCAAGCAAAGGAGTTTTCAATCCTTTGTCAAGCATCTCCTCTGTACACGCCTCTCTAGACTTCCCTTGACCTATAAGCCCTCGGATAGAAGTTGTCGTAAGGACAAATCCCTTTCGTGATCATCTCGTCCTACTTGCATTTCTTCACTTTCTCAGAGAAAGAATGCTAAAAAATTTCATTAGAGTGCACAACTGTTATTAATATTTTTTTTTTACCACAAAAAAAGCTTGCTGACAGATTCCTAATGCATATCATCAAAACCTAAACGATCGGATCATGTGATAAATCTAGTTTCATTTCATCAACAACAGCTTCCATGTTTCTATCTAGGGCAAAACAATACGTCAATCACTTTGCAGACTCTCTAGCTACTTCTTCGGGATCAGTACTTGATTCAACACAACTGAACCCAATTTCATCATCATTGTCGCATTCAGATTCAATTTCGTCATCACTACCATCAGAACTAACTAACCCTAGAGAAAGTGTGGCAATGAATCATACGAGAGACAGATTTGCCAAATAATATAAATGATTTGCTAAGAAAATAACGATTCACAGATTTGCTAAATAATATTGTTACGAGTGCGTTTGATTTGGAAGAAAATACTAGTAACAACAGTTGTTGTGCGCTCTTATAAAAAAATTAAGCCTTCTAAAAGAGTTTTAAGTTTTAACGAAAGGAAAATGAAACGTCCATGTTTTTATTACACAGAGACACGCATTTAGAACAAAAGGAAGATGCATTTAGAACAAAATGAAGATGAGACGTCGACTTTTATTACACAGAGACACACATTTAGAACAAAAGGAAGATGAAACGTGAATGTTTTCATTACACAGAGACAGATAAAGCCGCCTCTAGACAGAGAACAAAAGGACATTAGCATGGAGAGAACCAAGTATATATGGTCTCAACGTTTAGAGTATCTTCTGGTCTGGGCGATAGGCTTGCCCTTAGCTGATAGTTTTTTCCAAAGAACATAATGATTCACCTTCTTAAACTCGTCTACAGCAAAATCATAGATACTATCTGAGATTGGCATTATCGATGATGATACATCACGATTGACAGCAATCCACACCCCCATGCCAGTTAAAACAGCTATATCTCTCGAATGATCCTTTCCTTTCGAGCCTGAAACCATTTTACGCAGATCAAGTTACCCAACAATGTACACAAAAAGTATAAAAGGAGAATGATTGAATTCTTCTTCACCTTCTCGTACGCGCTTGAGCTCGATACAAAAAACTGCATTTTTGTAGGGAACGCATAATATTGCCTGACAAAAAACAAGATCCACCGATTTTGGAATGGGAACCTTCTCGGTGTCCCAAAGCACACTTGTTTTGCAGAATGTGCTCTGGGACACAGAGAACGTTCCCATTCCTAAATCCGTGGATCCTTGTTTTTTGTCAGGCAATATTATGCTACTAAATCGATGCTTGCCTTATGATCTTCTAGTCGTCGATGTCCCAGAAGAGCATCAGGGATCTTACTACCGTATTCGCTACTAGCCGTGGTTTTGAAGGACTGATCGAGACATTTAGAGAGAGAGAGGCGGAGCAAAGGTAGACGAGACTCGAGCAAAGGTTTACAGCTCCGGCACTGACTTAGAAACATGGTTTTGACGGCGTAAAGGAAGACGAGAGAGATGCGGCGCAAATAGGGTTTTCTTTCGTACCTACAGAAACCTATTATTATACCAACCTCCATTGACGATCCTTTAAACTAATAAGCCCATTTGTAAATGGGCCTTCTTTTAGACCCTATAAGAGAGCAAACTCTCTCTTTTCTTGGCTAATAATTGTTTTTTTGTATTTTTTTTTTTGTGATAACCCAAAACCAAATTTCTCTTAGTTTTCAATATTAATTCAATTGTTCATATATTGTTAGCTTCTTTCTTTTTTCTTACGTCATAAAACAAAATAATTTATATATTAAGCAGCTTCATCTTCCTTTTGCTAAAACTTTGTTTTGTATTCAAATGATTTGCAGACGATTTAAGCTCTGTTTTAAGCTATTCTCTCGGCCTACTTGCATTTCTTCACTTTCTCAGTGAAAGAATGCTCAATTTTTTCATTAGAGTGCACAACTGTTAATTAATATTTTATTGTTATAGAAGCAAATTACAAAAAAGCTATCTGACAGATTCCAATGTGATCAGTTCAGTCCAAGCTGTGCTAGTAAAGTCATGTTCTTGATTCAAGTAAGAGTTGTGGCTCGAAAACTAACCATTTGAAAATATGCTTTCTCCGAGTGAGCGAGTTGAATGATCCAGTTACCCGCCCCCAAGTTAGCAATCTTCCATGAATCTCTGTTTGCATCTCCTTCTAGTCATCTGAGCCCATCTCGCAAAGATCTCTGCTGCAGCAAACTTACCGGAGAACTTAGCTCTCTGTGCCAATTCCTCAAATATCTCCGGTTGTCCCCCTTTGTGGAAATCAGCTGCAAACTTGTTATAATCAATCAAAGGGGTTTTCATTCCTTTGTCAAGCATCTCCTCTAAGTATCTGCATGCCTCTCTGGACTTCCCTTCACCTATAAGCCCTCTGATCAAAACCGTGTAGGAGTTATCGTCAGGACAAATCCCTTTCTTGATCATCTCGTCCCAAACTGCACTCCCCATCTCATAGTTTCTCGCCATGAAGTATGACTTCATTATCATGTTGAATGTGTGTATCGATGGCTCAATTTCGTTCTGGATCATCTTGTTGTAGATCCTTGTGGCATGTTCCGGCATTTTCTGGTTCGCCATCAGTTTGATCAACGCATTATACGTTTTGCCATCCGGAGGATGTCCCTTTTCTTGCATCTCCTTGAGCAGTTCGTAAACAGTATCCAGCTTCTTCTGAGTCCCAAACCCCGTGATCAGACACGTGTAAACCGCAGCATCAGGTTGCAACCCGGAATCAACCATGTCATCAAAGTACTCAATGGCAGTTTCCATGCTCGACTGTTTGCAGAAGTCACGGATCATGATGGTATAGCTACGGACATTAGGGCAAGGTCCCTTGGATTTCATAACATGGAACAATTTGATCGCATCTGATTTTTTCCTACTCCTCAATAACCCTTCAAGCATAACGTTATGAGCTACAATGTCAGGTTTCAAGCCCTGATCAATCATATCATTCCAGATTCTAGCTGCTTCTATCAAGTTCCTCACCCTGCACCAACCATTGAGTAGAACAGTGTAAGTCATCATATTAGGCGTAAACCTCTCCTTCAGCTTATCAAACAGAACCTGAGCTTCTTTTCCAAGCTTAGCCCTGCCAAGACTATCAAGCAAGCAATTAATGGTTTCAACACCAATTTTAAACTTGTACTTCTTCATCAACTCAAAAATACCAACAGCTTTCTTCCTCTCTTTCGCAGCAGCGAAAGCTTTCATCGCAATAGTGAATGTCTCCATCGTCAATAGCCCTTTCGTACCCATCTCTTCAAGAACCGAAACCATCGTCTCAAACTGTCTAGTCTTTGCTAAAATACTCATCATGGAGTTATACGTTCTTGAATCATGAGCAAACCCTTGTTTCTCTGCAGCCCAACAGAAGAACCTAAACGCAGGCTTCCTAGCATGTCGAAACCGTTCTAAAACCTTTACGATCAGATCATGTGATAATTCTACTTTCATTTCATCAAGAACAGCTTCCATGTTTCTATCTAACGCAAACAATTCATCGATCACTTTGCAGACTCTCTCTACTTCCTCGGGATTAGTACTTGAATCAACACAACTGACCCCAATTTCAATACCAACATCATCATCATTATCGCATTCAGATTCAATTTCGTCATCACTAACATCAGAACTACCACTAGAGAAACCTCTAAAACCAAGACTCGCGTCAAGCAGTTGTACAGAGGAGTGTGGCAACGAAACTTGACGGTGAGGATGATAAGTAGAAGATTGAATCATACGAGAGAATGGCAAAGAGCTAGCAGCGGAAAATCGTACTTCCCCTTCTCCTCTCCCGCCGATTACGCGACTTTGACCGGAAATGAATTCATCCGAATTGAACGAAGAAGAGCAAATGATGAGGCAATGAAGCCGTTGAAAGCTGTGAGTAGTTCTAATGGAGCTTCTTCTCATAGAGAGATAGAGCCATGGAGCAGCAGCCATGGAAGCTCGACGGCGATTAGCAATGGCAAAGTCGGTGAAAAGCGACTGATTAACGGCGGAGCAAAATTAGAGCCTCTTTCCCTATATGGGCCTTAGTTTTAAAGGCCCATTAATCTGGTTAACGGCGGCGCAAAATTACAGCTTTGATGACCCATTCGTTAACCATTGGGTCCACCAGGAGCATTAAAGCGCAAGATCATCATCAAAGGTGTTGGAAGGTATCTCTGTATGCATCTTATCTTCGTTTTAGGGTCGTGATATTTTCACAAGTTTTCTTAGGGGACCAATTATTTTTAGATTTATTTGATTCTATCATACATTTCTCTTAGTTCACGTTATCTTTGTATACGTTTACGGATATTACAAAACTGAAATTCAAGATCAGTCAATCAATAGCGTAATCCTACGGGATATATGAGGAAAATCAGATTCCAGATTAAGTTCATATATATTAACTTCTTTTTCTTCTTTAGAACAAATATAGAGTTCATACTATAATAACATACTACTCGTTCACAAGCATGAAATAATTCTGCCAAACATTAATTTGTCTTATATAAAAATATAACATATTGTAGATAAGACTCACAGCTGAAAGAAAAACGAGAGTCTTTCTGTATTTGGTTATCTTATCTTAACATTACAAAAAGTGTAACACCAAAGATATGTCTCTAATGTAAAAATTACTTAAGAGATAATGTCTACAAATATCTAAATAAAAACACTTAATTCCAAATAGGGAAATCAAGTGGGTTTTGCCTAGCTAGTTGTATAAATAGAAACACAATCGTAATCTCTTCTTCCATCGAGCCTTCTTCATAAGATATTTCTTCTCTAATAATTGAAAGCAAAAGAAATCAGTATTTTTTTTAGAAAGGTAAAGAAATGGAGGAAACAAAGGAGAGAATGATAGTAGTAGCAGTGGACGAAAGCGAAGAGAGCATGGAAGCTCTTTCATGGAGTCTTGACAATCTTTTTCCGTATGGTTCCAATAATACACTCATCCTCCTCTACGTAAAGCCCCCTCTTCCCGTTTACTCTTCCCTTGACGCCGCAGGTTTAGTCTTCATTATTTCACGATTAATATCTTTTGATTAACTACCCTCATTAATTAATATTCGTTCACTTTAGTTATAGATTTTGTTTGGTCGATTTCCAGGGTTTATAGTGACCGGAGACCCGGTTGCAGCTTTGAAGAAGTATGAATACGAGCTCGTGGAATCGGTCATGGCTCGATCTCGAACCGTGTACCAAGATTATGAGTCCGATGTAAGCTTATTTCTATATTTCAAGAAACTGACAAATTATTAGAAAGTGAATTTAATCAAGTAGTTATGAGTTAATCTATTTATTTTCAATTGGTTTAGCACAAAAAAAAAGGTTCTTACGACAACCTATATTAATTAGGAACAATATTTAATACCAAAAGAAACATTCGATTAGCGATATATGGCTGTTTTCAAAGAGATTTGACGAAAAAAAATCAAGGAGGAGTAAATTAATGTGCGATTTGATATGCAGATTAATATAGAAAGACGAATTGGAAGAGGAGATGCTAAGGAAGTTATATGCAAGGCAGTTGAGAAACTTAGAGCTAATATGTTAGTAATGGGCACTCATGACTATGGTTTCTTCAAAAGGTAAGGCTTCAATCTTATTATAGGACAAAAATAATATTTTGATATAATGGTTGTTTGATATGGTTTGGTGTAATTGATAGGGCTTTGCTAGGGAGTGTGAGCGAGTATTGCGCCAAACGAGTCAAGTGTCCTGTGATTATTGTCAAGAAGCAACCTGAAGATAATTAAAGCTCATATACTATAACTCTTGTGATTGTGTATATGTTTCGAAAGAACTGATGTAACATTTAAATCTTCGTATATTGCAATAATAAAATACACAACGGGTCTAAATAGTAATGACGGAATATGATGAAAAATGATTTGAACAAATTTTGCGAATATTTTTGCTGATTTAAAACTGGTGGACTCATCCAATTAATTTAGCGATTTTATATTTAGTATGGTTAGTTAGTACACCGCCAAAGTTAAACTAATGTAACAAATTTTCGTCAACGTATAGAATGAAAAGAATCATACTCCCTCTATTCTTCAAAGTTGGATGTTTTAGTGTTTTAGGTTTGTTCCATAAAGATTAATTTTCTAGCTTTTTATTGGATTTTTATTAATTATTTTTAACAAATCGTAGATTTTAAGACGTAATGATTATAAATAATTAACTGTTTTAAAAAGAAAAACTTATCAAATAATTTTTAAAAAAACTATTAAAAAAATTAATAAAAAGAAAAAATTATCAAATAATTAAATCATGATTGTTTCTTAATATATGTGTAAATTCTAAAACATCAAAATAGGGATATTTGAATATCTGAAATTTAGATGTCTAGATTAAAGTCACTACTACAATTATTGTTCGCTTCAAATTTCAAACAAGGCCTGAAGGCCCAATGTATATCTGTTACTCACCCAGTCAACAACACACTCATATTCAAACGATGCCGTTTTTACCTTTTTAGCTTCACCTTCACACACAACAAAAAGAAAAAAGAAACCAATTTACATATTTGTCGTTTCCGAGTGCGAAGCTGCGTGAAAATCTTCAATCTGACGAGAGAGAAGAAGAAGCGATGTTCCTGGTGGATTGGTTCTATGGAGTTCTGGCAACTCTGGGATTATGGCAGAAAGAAGCGAAGATTCTGTTTCTAGGTCTCGACAACGCCGGCAAAACCACCTTGCTTCACATGTTAAAGGACGAGGTTCGTTTTCTTCGAATCAGATGAGTAATCGCTGTCTAGAATCTTGTTTCTGTTACTTAGCGTGATCGAATCAAAGTTTGAGCCATCGATCATCGTTTGATTTTGGTTTCAGAGACTGGTCCAGCATCAGCCGACACAGCATCCGACATCTGAAGAACTAAGTATCGGCAAAATCAAGTTCAAAGCTTTCGATTTGGGAGGTCATCAGATTGCTCGTAGAGTCTGGAAGGACTACTATGCTAAGGTGTGATCTTCTTTGTTCTTTGTATTGTTTGGATTTTTAGGTCAATCAATTAGCAAGTCTTGTCAGAATTTCATCTGCTATAGTTTTATGTACACTCTAAGCTATAGATTTCAATCGTCCCTGTGCCAAAGAAACAGTAGTTTGAGATGATAGAGGTGAAGTGAAATCTTCAATGACACGGTGATATCATGATTAACTCCAATTTGAAGTTTCGAATGTAACAATTCCCTTATGATTATTGCAGCATGAGGTCCTGTGATTACATTATGCTGGTTATGTGTACCTAGTAAGCTTATGCTGTGTACTACTCATACTATGTTCCTTAGTCCGATGGATTATATTTGCAAAGAAACAAATTTACAGATGATAGTTTGAAACGACATGGTGATTGGTATGTATGTGAAGGTTGAGAATTAGAAGATTGCATAACTATAGACTAATCTTACTGTTAGCATCACACCATGTGGTCTCTTGTGATGTACATTCTCATAGCTAATGATTCCAATGAATGAACTGTGGTGTCAACCTATTAGCTACCCTGTTCGAATTCTGTCTTCAAGTTTGTAACTTGATTATTGTCTCTTATTAGGTTGATGCAGTGGTATACCTAGTGGATGCATATGACAAAGAGAGGTTTGCAGAATCAAAGAAAGAGCTTGACGCTCTTCTCTCTGATGAATCCCTAGCAACTGTCCCTTTCCTCGTTCTTGGAAACAAAATCGACATTCCTTACGCCGCATCAGAAGACGAGTTGCGTTATCATCTAGGCCTCACCAATTTCACCACTGGGAAAGGTAAAGTGAATTTAGCTGGAACAAATGTTCGTCCCCTTGAGGTGTTCATGTGCAGCATTGTCAGAAAGATGGGTTACGGCGAAGGATTTAAATGGGTTTCTCAATATATCGACTAGATCAATTATAAGTCTTATCTATCTATACAATGTGATTGGTATCTATCTACTTGTTATGATATCTATATGTATGATTACGATTCAAATGAAATATGTGAATGTGTGTATACAGCAAGATTTCTATTTTTGACGCCTTTTAGATTATAGATTTAGTGTATACAGACCAAACTTGAATCCTATGAAAAGTGTGAACCCATTTGTCTGTGACTATGTACCTGTGTGGGGCTTAAGCAATGGCTGTCTCTTAGCTTTTTCTGAAAATTCGAAAGATGAAGACTTTTACTTTAATAATGTATTGTAGAGAAAAACCCCATGTGAATCGAGTTTGACATTTAACAATCACAATGTCCTACACTGAAGACCAATCAATTTGACACTTAGATGTACCATAATGAGTGTACGTATATTGTTTTACATGTGTTATGTCTCTTTGTGAACTTATCATTATGTCTGTTTTTCTTTTTTTCTCTAGGTATTGTGAACGAACACAAAGAAATCTATGGATAACTATGTATTTAATCTCATTACTTGATATAGTTCACAATTAAAAAATTTATACTATATAAAATTTGAGAGAGCAAAAGAAAAAAAAAATACATGGTTTTGAGCACGACTCACAACGTCACAAGTCACAATGCGTCCTTGATATCAGCCGCTTTGAAACGTTCAAATCGCAACATAATAAGGCTAATATATTAGTAGATTTTGTGACTCAAGATTTTGCAGCTCAATATGTATGTCTATGGACGATGCAAATATAGATATATATCTGAATAAAAATTATTAGGTGCACACTTTCCCTTTTTATAACTTTTGCAGAATTTCTCCTTTGGATTGATTCTTGTCTACGTGGTCCAAAGCTAAACAATCAACAGTTTTTGAACTTATTAGTTCTATTATTTGTTATTAAAATTTCCCTTTTGGATAGATTCGTTGTTACAGTTTTTTTGCTGTTCTGTTTTCATTGCTGTTTCTTTTTATTATTCGCCCCTTTTCAGCAAAGCACAGCCGATCTAGAGACTGGTTCTATTTCCAATGAAATACACTAAGCATGAATATGTGACCAAATGAATAATTTGATGTAAGTTTTTGTCTTGAATGAAAAAAAAAATATATATATATAACAATCCAAATATTAAAAATCAAACCGGTTCTCGGTTAAATTTGTTAAACGTGGAGAAAACAAAAGTTATAGGAACTATTGAAGAAAAAAAAAGTTATAGGAACTATTAAAGTTGGTATTTGGGGTAAAGAGATGCACATGGATTACTCATTCCCACGTGATATCTAAGCCAAGAACACGTGCCTTCCTCTGAGCTATCTGACTTTTATTTGATTGGTTTCAGTTTTTTGTTCAAAACCCAAAGCTTTTGGATCCAAAAGAGGTCTCTATCGTATGCATTTGAGCAAAACTAGATGATTGGTTTGATGCCCAACGCAAGATTCTTTATTTTGTACTCAATACTTGAAATTCAATAATGACGCTAATTATACAACTAGTAATACTCGATTATACTATAGATTCCTATCTTAATATTTGCGCCAACTTTGACACTTATTTGGTTCTATATAAAGCCATGTCTCGGTAAAAGTCACCGTAGAGTATAGACAATGCAATCATGTTGCAATGTCAAAACACCCAATAGTGAAAGTGTTTTGTACAATATTTTTGGACGTTCACTTGTAGAAAGCTTATTATTTTATGATTTTCCGAATAATTTTTGGGTTTAGTTGGACTATATGCATTCCTATATAAAGTACTATATAACTTATAAAAATTAAATTTAGAAACCAAAACATAAAAATTTATGATAGAAGGAATTTAACGAAATATATATAATAGAAAATATGAAGTATGTATGTACATGTTATATGTATGATATATTCATATATAAGCCGTCATGGTGTGCCTCTTAAGATGCTAACATGTTTATAGAATGGGGACAGTTGCTCTTAAGTAGACCCACTTTTAAACCGAATATTTAACTTAACACTAGTTAACTACAATTAACACGTAATCGTCTTTTTTTTTTTTTTTTTTTTTCATCAACACGTAATCGTCTTTCTTTCTAGAGTTTGTTAACTCAAGCCATCCTGGCATAATTGTCTCGACCAATGGCATGGTGTGTACTGTGTGTATAGTATCATCAACTATTTAATGCTCGAGCCTATCTTTTAATTTGTACTATACTATATACACACATTAGTATATAATAGTTCTAAAGAGAAAACTGTATTTTTGACTTATTATTTTCATGTTATACAAGGGAGAATAGAAAAATGTAATACATAGTTAAAGATCGATATTATATTTTGAATGATTAACAATTAGGTTATAAATTGTAGGCAATACACATAGATTGCCTATAAATCCAAAAAAATGTGGAAGGAAGTTGTACCTATAATATAATCATTCTACGAGCTGCATTATTATTATTGCTGTTATATTCAGTTCCCAATAATAAAGGCTAACCGTCCCTTGCTATATACTCTCTTCGATTCGTTTTAGTTGTCGTTTTAAGACTTAAATTTTGTTTCGTAATAGTTGTCGTTTTAGGTTTTCAATGCAAATGTTTGGTAAAAATTCTAGTATTATCCCTATTGTTTTAATGTTTTGACCAATGAAAAAATTTATAAGATATATTAGTAAAGGATAAAACAGAAAATTTATTGTTTTTCTTAATTTGTGTGAGAAAACCTTAAACGACAACTAAAACGAAACGAAACGGATGGAGTAATTTTTATTTTATTTAAGAATCCTATGAAAAAAAAGGTTGGATATTTAGACATTGCATATTGTTTTCAGACCATATATCTTTTTTTTTTTAATACGGACCATATGTTTTTTGCTACATACATGTTGACATTGCATTGATTTTAGACCATACAAAATTCTACATGATTCGCAATAGCATGCTGTTTTCTTAGAAACATTAATAACAAGACGTGCCCCGATTAAATTAATTACGTAATTTCACGATGGTATAAAATTGGAAAAGGTTAATTATTCATCACTGAAGCACATAACATGTATGGATGTATCTAGAAATAACTGAAACTCGTATATAAATTATCAAAAGCTTTAACATGCACTATTAAGAAATTCTTGGCATGGCCAACATCTCATTATGATTATATTTTAGGCTCCATTCTAAATTTTCATTTTTGGAAAAACAATAATAGCCAGAGAATCTGATGAAGAAAATGAAACTTGAAGTATATAGTAAGAAATAATTGAACATGATTACTCAAGAGATGGGTGATGGAATAATGCAATCATTCGTCATACTATGACGATTTCAGAATATGACAAATCACAATGATGTATATAAATTACAAAGTCTACTATTTTTAATCAGCTGTGTTAAAAGTTTCGTAATCGTGGTTTTATGGTAAAATATCTTAGTTTATACTTAAAAAGATAAAAATTTATGTTTAAACATGTCACTAATGCTATACTAAAAAGATATGATTTGATTCGTTATAAACAGAAATAAATTTTAATTTTACCAAAAAAAAACATAAATGAATCAAATATACGAATCCAAAACTTTATTAAGGTTAGAATTGAAACTAAGGAATATTAGAATAATTAGTCCAAAATTACCTTGCCTAAGTAGATAATGCAGACTACACTCATTGAAGAGAGATAAGAGAATATATATATAGGAAGACGTATATTATTCACGAAGAGATTGTACATATATGACTGATGAACTATCTAATAAGGTTAAGAGTAATTACAAGAGATATGATTGAGATTAGCTAATAAGATAAAAGAGTAATTAGATGAGATATTATTATTACGCGAGATTGATAAACGTAGGCTATATATATAGCAAGAGAATATATAAAAGGAGAAATGGTGCCAGCTAATTTAAGTTGAAGGATCACAACTTTTCTCTCAGGTCAAAGCTGTCATTGCTCTCTCTCTCTCCCCTATACTGCTCTGTTTCCTTCTCTCTGTTTCTTTATAAAACAACACTTCTCTCTCTTTTCTCAAATCTTGGAGGAGAAGAAGCAAAGAACTTTGGATAGTTTGATCTATATATTGACCCAAATCAGCGAATATCAAAACCTTCTTTAGACTACTCTGCAACAACAATGGCGGTTTATCCTGTCCTTAACGGCGACAAGAAGCATTGGTGGTTCACTCACAAGAAGGTAAATAAGACCTCCATATCACTAATCTTTCTTCAATATTTCGATAATCTCTATAACGGGTAATGATCATTCACTCAAAAGACATTAACTTGTTTTTTATATCTTCCAGATTGTTGACAAGTACATTCAGGACGCAAGGTCTTTAATGTCGAGTGAGGAGCAAAACGACGTTGCTTCAGCCATTCATTTACTAGACGCGGCGTTATCAATATCGCCGCGTTCGGAAACTGCGTTAGAACTTAAAGCCAGATCTTTGCTTTTTCTTCGTCGCTTCAAAGATGTAGTTAATATGCTTCAAGATTATATTCCAAGCCTCAAGCTCACCGTGAACGAGGAAGATGGATCTTATTCATACGAAGGCAGCTCTTTCTCTTCCTCCTCTGCTCAGCTCTCCCGGAAACTTCTCTCCAACTCATCTCCTCGCCGTGACTCCTCCTTCAAGTGCTTCTCTGTTTCTGACTTGAAAAATAAAATTATGGCTGGGATTTGTAAAAATCGCGATAAAGATAAACAATGGAGGTAATTTTCCTTTATTATTTCCTCGTTTTCAGTAAATTAAAGTGATTTATTTTTAGGAAAATGGTACGTTTACTGAATTATTCTTTTCGAAATTGCATTTTCTGTCATTCTATTGTTGTAAAATATTAATGCTAATAAACATCAAATTAATTTTTGTTTGATAATTCTTTTTCTTTTTATAGACCAATATGAGTGTAGTTTTTGAAAATAATAATTATTTATTGTTTTTATTTTGTTGGAATTTTTCAGATATGTTGTTTTAGGACAAGCTTGTTGCCACCTAGGATTAATGGAGGACGCATTGATTCTTCTTCAAACCGGAAAACGCCTCGCAACCGCCGAGTTCCGCCGTTTAAGTGTAAGCTTGGCAGATGATAGCGTCTCTCTCCTCCTCTCCGAATCATCATCATCATCATCATCCTCTTATGCTTATCCTCCACGCAAACTCTCCGAATGCGAAACCGTCACTAACCTTCTCGCTCACACAAAAAATCTCCTCCGTCGTCGCGCCGCCGGTTTCGCCGCCTTTGACGCTGGACTATTCTCCGACTCCATCCGTCACTTCTCCAAAATCCTCGACGGTCGTCGTCGTCCCGCGCCACAAGGATTCCTCGCCGATTGCTATATGCACCGCGCCGCCGCTTATAAATCCGCCGGGAAAATCGCGGAAGCGATCGCCGATTGTAACAAAACCTTAGCTCTTGAGCCGTCGTGCATTCACGCGTTGGAGACTAGAGCCGCTCTTTTGGAAACAGTTCGGTGTCTACCGGATTCGCTTCACGATTTAGAGCACTTGAAGATACTCTACAACACCATCTTACGTGATCGGAAACTTCCCGGACCACCGTGGAAACGACACAATGTGAAATACAGAGAAATTCCGGGAAAATTATGCGAATTAACGACGAAATCGAAGAAACTGAAAGCAAAAATCGCGAATGGAGAAATCGGTGACGTTGATTATTACGGATTGGTCGGAGTTAGACGAGGTTGCACGAGATCGGAGCTTGATCGAGCAAATCTCTTGCTCTGTCTCAGGCATAAACCTGACAAGGCTTTAGCATTCATCGAACGCTGCGATTTCTTCGATCAGAACGAGATTAGTTCCGTTAAAGATCGAGCGAAGATGTCCTCTTTGTTGCTTTACCGATTGATTCAGAGAGGTTATTCAGTTTTGACGGCCACGATAGCAGAGGAGGAACAGAGGAAGAAGATGATGGCGTTGACTCAAACGTCAACGAAAACGGTTGAAGAGCACGAACCGGTTGAAAATCCCGGTACAATAAAGATAACCGGTTTCGTAGATATTAAACCGGGAAATTCAAACGCGTTTCAAGGAGTTTTCTGCCGAGATCTTGCCGCCGTTGGGAGTTTATTATCTCGAACCGGTTTTAACCAACCGATTCCAATGAAATACGATGCAATCAGTTGTTAACCGAGAATTATAGTTTGTGTATAAGTAAGACTTTTTAATTCCACTTGAGAATTTTTTGTCACTTTAAAATATTCGTCTCCTTTGAGTTTCTCCTACTTTCTCTTTATTTCTGTGCAGAAAATGCTTTACTTGTCGAATATAAAATCAAAGTTGTGAAAATTACCATTTTTTCCATTAGAAGTGTTAGTGTGTGACACACATATGAATACTAATCGGATAACTGAATATTTTAATTTGCTAACCGGTGTTCCTCTTAGATTTGTCCGATTAAAATGGATAAACGAGTCTGACACAAGAAATTAATATTTCGAGGAATCCTTATCTACAAAGTTTTGGATGCCATTTATTGGTATAGGTGATGGATTAATCAGGTCGTAAGATAAAATAAAAGAATGATACAGTTTGAGTAATACTAGTATAGATATCAGATGGGTCGTTGATTTTTATTCGATTGTCAACCAATCGATTAATTAAATTTCTTAGAATCTTGACCATATTTCGAAGTTTGGTTCGGTTTGGTCAAGCATTCTTCCCTGCTAAATTTAAAATACGAGAGACAACTCTTAAAATCTTCTATGCAATTATTATTATAAGCCATTTTCACATTTGGGTTTCAGAATTATCATAGAACACCACCACAGGGAATACTTATTATGTTTTCAACAAATGCCACAGGGAATACTATGCCACCTACTTATTAAATTAACATCACCATCACTCTATAGAATACATATTTTGACTATAACAAGTCCATGTACATATCTCGTTTTTCGTTTATTTCCAAAAATTGGTGAAATATGTAAAAATGAAGGAAGAATCTTTCTGTATTTCTATTAATCTATTCATTTTGAAATCTTTAATAAATAATTTACTCTTGTACAAGAACAGGATTTGATAAATTAACCTATATAATACGTGAAAAAAACAAATTTGTTTGGTAATAGTTATATCTTGATAACATCATCGTAAGAGAGAATTGGTACATCTTGAGCTTGAGTTGGGTGAATGTGGTCGAATTAAGAAAAAAAATAAAGTTGAGGGTGGAAAAGTTAAAATAAAAGAAGCACGTGATGTATAGGATGTTGGAGACATTGGAAAGAGGATCAGTCGTGGCCAGAGGTATATGAATATGATGATGTCAGCGTGTATCCATGTGAGCTTATCATCGGTACTTATTAGTACTTATTTTATACTTTTTTTTTTGTATTAAAATATCGTATTCAAATTGTGAAAAAAAAAGTTTTTATAAAAATCGATGGAAAAGTAGGAATAACATAAAGGACAGTAAGGTACTCGACTTTGGTCAGAAGAAGAGAGATGGAAGTATTTTATTTTCCATGATAAAGAACGCATCTCGAGCCAACAAAAACAAGCTCGTATTAACTAATATACTATATTATATTTAGTGGAGGACAGAAATTAGATCGAGTTTTCAGATCTGAAGTACCTTACAAGTTACAATACAACTTACAAGCATGGCTGTTGAACATGTCATAGTTATCCAACAACCAATACTGAATACCTGTAGAATATTCAAAATGTGAATAAGATCGGCCTTTTCTAAATACACGATGTTTAGAATAATGAGTATTCTTTTTAGCCAAATCAAATATCTAATACCTACCATACCAGCAGCAAAACAAGACATTACGATGATATTATTACAGTGGTTTGCAATTTTAGTGGGTGAAAAAAAAGGGGTTAGAATAATGGTCACAAAGACGAAAACAAACGAACGATTCAATTTGTCCAAATCTCGGTTCGGTTCAAGTTTCCATGCCTAATATTGTTGCCTTGTTGGCAGAAAAAGACTTCGATTGTGGATAATGGACCGAACACCTATAATGGTTCTTTGGCCCAAACAAAACAAATGATGTTTCAAGCAAAATGAATTTGTGCAAGTCAAGGGGTACTTTAGTCAATGCAGATGGCAACTACCTAACCCAAACTCAATTCGACGTTAAGAAAACGTGTCGCGTCTTCTGGTCTCAGCTACCAAATTCGAGAAAGAGTGATCGGAAAACAATCATCGGCGATGGGTTGGTATACCAGTTTCATAGCAGCGTTGGCGTTCTTAGCCGTCGGAGTTATATTCTCTCCGGAGACATTCGGATCGCTGTCGAATGGAGAGAATTCGGAGAAGCTTTCGATATTCCTGAAGCTAGCTCATCTACTCAGTTTCGCCACAGCTTGGGGAGCTGCTCTCTGGGCTACCTTCATCGGAGGAATCATCATGTTCAAGTACGCATCTCTCTCTCAATCCTCTTCTTCAATTTGGTGGAATTGGATTCTGTGTGATTGATTTCTTTCTCTCTAAAGGAATTTACCGAGGCATCAGTTTGGTAATCTTCAGAGCAAGATGTTTCCAGCTTACTTCACTTTGGTTGGTTCTTGCTGCGCAATTTCACTCTCTGCTTTTGGTTATTTGCATCCATGGAAGTCATCTTCTACTGTCGACAAGTATCAGCTAGGCTTTCTCCTATCCGCTTTTGCTTTCAATCTCACCAATTTGTTTGTCTTCACTCCCATGACCATCAATGTAAGTGTGCCCAGTTCCTCCAATTGCATAGAACAATGCATACAAGATGACTTATGAACCAATCATGGCCTTGCTTTGGTGTATGTAGATGATGAAGGAAAGGCACAAAGTAGAGAGAGAAAACAACATTGGAGATGAAGTTGGTTGGTCCAAGAACAGAGAAAAGGCAAAGACCATCCCTAAGCTAGCTGCCATGAACAAGAAGTTTGGAATGATTCACGGGTTGTCATCGCTTGCTAACATTTTCTCATTTGGCAGCCTTGCTATGCATTCTTGGTATCTAGCAGGGAAGTTGAATCTTTAGTTTCCTCAATACTCATCTTTTCACAAAGGTCTGATCTTTTATGCCCCCCTTACTGAATAAATCTCTTGCATTTCGTCGCCAATCCCTTTGTAAGATTCTGTCAGTTGGACAAGACTCCAAAGAGTGAAATCATGAAAGAATTTGTTATCCCTTTTTCTCTTATACTAAGATAGTTGCTGTCTTTTCTGAAAATTATTGATGTGTGTGATAGATTCTATTACAGAATAGGCCTACGCTTCACTTGAAGAAACTAAAATGTGCTTGTGAATGGTGAAAGACCACACCATAGACATTCATAATTAACAATCTAATTGGGAGAAAGAAGATGATCACTAGTTGACTACTCCTTGATGCCACAAATCTTGTTATGAGTTTCAAAGAATCTCTCCCAGTAAATAAAATGTTTATAATAAAGAACTTGCGCCGCCATTGATCCCGCTCAGCCTTTATCTGCTTCAGTTCCTTCCGAATCACATGCCTCAAGGCCTTCAGGTAAGAGCTCATGTCATGGTTTCTTTTGATTTTTCCTTCTGACCCGTAAGAACGACGATCACTGAGAATCTCTAGGGGGTGTGGTGAGTTAAAGAAGACACTCTTTGCAGCCCTTAAACTTTTCTCTGTTTCATCCGTATTCTTAGATGTTAAGAGATAGATACCACTTCCGGGAGGAAGCAGAGGATGTGGGGGAGAGAATCTCTCGGATGGTTGCAGAATTAGAAGCTTCCCCATTGGAGAATACAATACATTCTGCAGGAAAGAAGGCAAACAGAGTAAGCCAAGAAACAATGATCTGAAGCAAGCAGCTTAAGATGTTTTCACATGTTACCTGGTTATTCAGACAAGGATGGTTCCTGAAGTTTCCATTCAATGCCTTGAGAATATTTGCGGCTCGGTTAGGGTAATTGCAGGAGAATGCTCGGGGAACAATATCTCTATGCATTGAGATTCCGAGAAGATGACTCTTAGGCAAACCAAGTTTCTGAAGAAGCCTATCACCTCCGCACATGATGCATGGTGAACCAAAAGTGATCACCGGGAGCAGAGAAGAAGCCGGGACTTGACCTCGGATCAGAAGCATGAGGTTCACTAACAGTGACAGGCTTCCGCCTAGAGAATGTCCGCTAAACCTGAGAAAAGCACGGTGCCTGCCACGGGAATTGAGGTGGGCATGAACTTCCGGTAACATCTGTTCGTATAGTCCTTTTGCTGCTTCGTATATGCCTCTGTGAACAAGCACATCAAGGTCCTCAAATGGAACAGGCTCGAACAGAAGGTTAGCTTGCCATGAGGCCAGTGAATCTGATCCCTGCAAAGTATTGAGTTCCTTTCTTAAGCTATCCATCTTTTGGCAAATGTCAGACCAATCAAAGACTCTAATCACAAATTACCTGAATAAAGAAGAACCTGGTGCCACTTTTATCATCATCACAGACAAACCACTCACAAGGCGGTGAACGGTTTGATTTGAGATCATCGGCGACCGCCTGTTTAACTTCCTCTTTGGCTGCCACGACTGCCGTAACTGAATCAGCAGTTGCCAATAGAGAAGCTTCTTCGTTGTCTTGACGTTTAGATGATCCAAAAGGAAGCACAGACTTAGAATGGGAAAAGAGACGAGAAGCAGCAGAAGCAGCGATTCTGTAAGCAACAGCTGGGTTAATAAGCTTCTTCTTCTCCTCCTCTTCCTCGCCATTGTTGTTCTCTTCAACCTTAAGACTCGTTCTCTTCTCAATTGAGGAAGTAACGAATCTCAGTTTCTGATATTTCAACAGATTATCAGGCTGCAACAATGTCAAAACCAATAAGGATAAAATTCAGAAACAGAGAATTGAGGTTTTTGGTTTCAATCATGTCAAATTCACCTTGATTTTAGGGATTGAATAAGCCAAATTCCCCAAAAACGACAATTTGGCAAAGATCTGAGCATCTTCAACAGGAACTTTGCTTAACATCTCAGAGAACTCTTCTCTACCAAACACAGTCTCCTCCTTTTCTTCTTCATCATCATCATCATCGACCCTGCAGAAATCGCATTCCTCACATAAATCTTCCTTGTCATTCTTCGATTCAGTAACTTGCTCTTCGTCGTCCTCTTCTCCACCGCCACCTGATCGTTGTCTCTTCCCTTTCCAGATTGATCCAACTTCCAAAATTTTCAAAACCCAGTTTCCGTTATCGTTTCCGACCCGCTCCTCTCTCTCCAACAAAACGGCGGCGTCGTCTCTTACCGGTCCCTTCTCATCTCTCTTACCACCGATCCGAAGAAACTCAAGCGGACGAGGACGTCGACGTGAAACCCAACGCGGCAGAGAACCAGCCGTTGATTTCTCCTCAACAGAGCCTCCGATGGCGCGTATGAAAGAAGAAGGCCCCACCGGAATCATCGGAGATACAACTCCTTGCACCGACATTTTTAAGAAAACACCCTCCATTTAACAACACTTAACCAAAACTCTTTCCTTCAAATTTCCTCTTCTTCTTCGTTAATGGAGTAAATAGACCCGTATAAAATACGTATACACCGGGAATAATCCGGCGTTGGCGTGCAAGTTTGAATGAATCTGTTGTCGTTTTTTGGTATCTTCTCAGCTTCCTCGTCCGATCAAATCTTCCTTTGATAGCGATGGATGTGTGTTAGAAAGCTGGTGAACCAACTTTAACACGCCTTAATGGATGCCCCCGTATCAACTTCATTATTCTCTCGAATGTTAACAATTATTTGCTGGATTGATTTCAATTACGATTAATTTTATAAAGCTCACAATTTTGGAGCAATTAATATTTTAAGGGATCTTTCTGGGTAGAGCTATATAGAAGACACGTGGAACATGAATGCGCCTAAGAACTTGACAACTTGTTGTGTCTCCCACGTTTCTTGGAACAAAATCAGGTGCTCGATATTGTTGGACTTTATTAGTTTCATCGCAACAACTAAAACCTAACTTCATCGCCTAATTAAAAGAGACACGAGTGTTTTCATTACATCTTTTTTTTATGCTAACTAGCCACAAGACCCACAAAAGAGTATTGGAAATAGGATTCACAGAAATAATCCAAATTGTATTTAATTCATGAATATGCACTAATATGATTAACAAAACCAAACAAAAATGACAAATTGATCAAAACCCTCCTCGTGACTTTTCTCATCTTCGTCTTTGTCTCCTCATATTTTTTTCTTTCTATATTAAAACCTAGACATGTTACATTAAGGACCACCACATGTTCTCCGCTTAAAACCCCAAACTTCTAAAGAGAGAGAAAGAGAGAGAGCACTAAGCAAAGACTTCTTTAATCTTCTTCTTCTGATCGTCAGTAAGAGAAGAAGGAAACAAAACCTCAAAAGTGACAAAGAGGTTCCCTTTCTTTGTGCTGTAGTGAAGTGGCATCCCTTCTCCTTTGAACTTCTTCACTTCCTTCGGCTTTGTAATTCCCTGTCGTCGTCGCACAATATTTAACCCATTAGATGATCATTGATGGTCACTGTTTCAAGTGTATTGAGTGTATGGAGAAGAGTATTAGTGTTACCTTGGAACTGATGTCAACTTCGTGATCATCTAAGTGTTTGAATGATTTCTCAAAACCAACTAGCGCCTCAACCTGTAGAAGATAGATTTGGTAGAATCAGAAAATGAGTCACTTGTTGGTCTAAGATGTAGAAATACAGCAGTAGTTTCTGGAATTTATTTACCAGTGTTATGTTAACGGTCATGTGTAGATCGTTGCCATCTCTTCGGAAACGGGCGTGTGGTGCAGTTCTGATTCGAAACTGCCAAATGTACACCAATGGTTTATTCTCTCTGATGTTGAAGATTAGTGAAATAACGGATAGTGAAATTTAAGGAAGAGGCTAACCTTCAGGTCACCAGGTTCACCGTCGAGAATGGGTTCACCGTCTTCATAGAAAGACACTTCCTGAAAAGTATTTGGTGTTAAGAAACTACAATTGGAGAATTGATAAGCACACTAATAAATCACAATGAGTTAAAGAGCTACTAAGAAATGTAGTCTAATATGTTGCAATAAGGGTTGTATAGTTTCAAGACTTACTTCTCCATCTTTCATTCCTTTCTCGATATCAACTGTCACAAAGTATCCCTCCCGTTCGTATTTGACATTAGGGCATTTGTCACAGACCTGAGGGGAACAAGAGGATATGTCGTTAAACAGATATCATGCGGAACAAGACAATCTGTGAGACTTAAACAGAGCCATCCTTTACCTGTTCTGTCATCTGTTGGAACATTCCAGGACCAATTTGTCTGTGGTAGACCTCGTTCCTGCAGTTACACTTTCTCTTTCCAGGAGCTGGTTTTATCACATTCTTTTCCCTCCATACCTGATAGTTCAATGTGGAACATCCTCACTGAGAACTTAAGGCAAGTTCTTTAATTTGCATTTATCTAAAAAAGCCTATCTACTCTAACTAAACATCGCCGGAACCTACAGAATGTCTGAATGATACTATGAAATCATGTTTACACATTTCTATTGATTAAAGTATATTTGAATCAAAGTACCAATATCCAGACGAGTAACATGTATTAGTGATGATAATACCATCCTGACATGGAGGTTATCATACCTTTATAGAGCCTCCCATGTACAAATCTTCTAGAGTTGCCTCAAGTTCCACAATCACGTCATCACCCTTGACAACCTTCTCTTCTTCCTCCATCGAACCTCCACCGAAAAACCTATAAAGCACATTAATAATCTATGAAATTAAGCAATATGCAACCTTTAAACACAAATGTAAAACATTATCCAAATTTAGGAACTATTCACGCTACAGTAAAGTCACTTAACATTACCAAATTCAATTGTATGCACTATCAATACATAAAACTCACACGAATTCTATAAGATCAGCTATTTGAAAAGATAGAATGATAAATTCCTAGTGACACTGAATCTTGTAAATCTAGTTGGATCCTAAAGAGTTACCATTTGCAGAAAACTTACGAGCTAAAAATGTCCTGCATATTCATGCCCCCGCCTCCACCTCCTCTTCCTCCATTTGCAGAAAACTGTTTAAGTCCCTCTTCACCATACTTGTTATATATCTCCCTCTTCTCCTCATCCGATAACACTTCATAAGCTGTTACATTAAAACACCAATACGTCAATTCTCAGAACGAAAAACGTGTAATCAAAGAGAGCAGAATCACAGGTTGTTGCAACATGAAAAATACCATTGTTGATCTCAGCGAATTTGCGAGTCGCCTCCTCATTTCCTTGATTCTTATCGGGATGATACTTCAAAGCGAGTTTCCTATAAGCTCTCTTGATCTGTTCGTCAGATGCACCTTTCGGAACTTGCAACACATCGTAGTAACTCTTCCTAAATCCACACACCATAGATTTTCTAAGCATTCACATTTTCCACACATTTCTATGCTTCTGAGGAATCGAAAGATGATCTTACCCGGCAAGGACGCAAATGGCATAAGAAAGAGCGAACAATACGATACACAACTCCGACCACCGAATCGCCATAGAAACGGAAATCAGGAGAGAATCGGATCTCTCCCAAGGACTTCAACTCCAATCTGAGATTCGGATTCGGATCTCCTTCGCTGATTTATGTGATTAGAGCTCAATCTCTCTCTCTCTCTCACTTCCCTTTCTCTCTTCCTTTCGCGGAACGAGTTTAGAATTCGAGCATCGTGGTCGGTTTACGTGTACACTGCACTGCTTAACCAATCAGGATTAAGTCTCTGACGATCCTAACCAATAGATATCAGCCACGTGGAAAAACTACGGTTGAATCGCTGACTGTTCTTTTCGTCGACTTTATTGGGTTCGACGTCGTTCTTACTATATAATCTAAACAAGGCCCATTAATAATGAAGCAGAGGCCTTAACGCAAAAACCTAAGTTAATGGGCCAAAACAAACTCCAGATTCTGGGGAGTCCAAATCCAAACTAGTTTTGCATTTGTTTTTTTTGTTTTTTGGGATAAAGGACTAAGTTATGGATTTATACCTACCATATTAAACCTGTAAAGCACTGCTCTGATGACAAAAAAAATTAAAACAACTTTGAGAAATTTATTTATTTAATCTTTATATAATCTGTTCCCTATACTATCTTAGTCACACATGAAGTTGTACATTGGTTAAACACTATGAAACAAAAGGGTGGTTAAATAATAAATACATATTTTGTTGCTTATTAATTTGCATGCAAAGAAACAGACTGGTTTGGACAATCATGTCATATGTCAGGTCTCTTGAATATTCGCATCTTCGACGAAACATTATTTGTTATACATACAATCTTACTACACATCTCACACGAGTGGTCCCAGCCCATTAATACCATTTACTGTCCATTGACAAAAAAAAAAAAAACGCTGATGACCAGGGGCGGATCTACAGTATAAGGAGGTGGGGCACGTGCCCCACACTCATTATATTTTTTTTTATTTTTTTTTTTTAATAAATAGACAATAGTAAATATGACTGTGAAAACTAAAATAAAATTGGTGTTCATATTTTCCACGATACGAAGTAAAATAATTGAGAAGAAAAAGTACGATTATGATTTTATTGTTAGATGATTGATTGAATCCGACTTGAGCCTTGTACACTGTACACGTGTGTATGGTTGCACACGTGTTTTGAATATTGAGTAGACTCTTTGGTGGGCACCAAGATTTAGTTACATTTTCTTTTGTTTAAGTAAGAAGAACTCAAATACACTATACGGTATAAATTTACTGAAATTATACGACTATCATCTGAGTCCCTCTAAATTCATTAAAAACAACGGTTTACAACTAATAATGTATAACTAATAGTATTTTAAGACTATTATTAGCATCTCAGGACGAGCCAGCTTGAACTGGTTAGTATAGCTGAATAACCCATTCCTCTCTACTCTTATCACTCCTATAAATATCTAAACCAATCACATTTTTTGTGGTGTCGTCACTTTACTTCTCTTTTATATATCTCTCTCTAGTGATTGACTATAGGGGTCAAGTGAAGTGAGTGAAATTTAATAGTTGGCGGAGAGAATGGGAAGAAAGCCGTGCTGTGAGAAGGTAGGAATGAAGAAGGGGCGCTGGACGGCGGAGGAAGACCAGATTCTCTCCGACTACATTAAGTCCAACGGCGAAGGTTCATGGCGTTCTCTTCCCAAAAATGCCGGTAAGAAAATTACATACAGTACTCTGTCTCTCGATTGATCGCATGCATCTTATAAGAGATCTTTTTTTTTGGTCAAAATTTATAAGAGAATCTTCCCTTAATCCTTTTATATATGCATCGAGAAATTAATTTATATCACGGATCAATAATACAATATGGGTTGTAAAATTTTTAATAGTAGAGGCCGTGATTAATTTTTGATCTACTTATTGTATCATTTTCTATAATGAATGCGTAATATTTAAAACGTAAACTGTTTTCTTAGAATATTATGCGATTGTGTTGTCATATTTCATATAGTATTCAGACCAAATTGCCTTCTTGTTTTGTTGACATATATGGACTGTACCTCACAGAAATGTTTATTTATTTATTTCAAAAACAGCTCTATTCAGAACAAAAGATGAGTAATATCAATCGCTGACTTTCTTTTGCCTCAAAATCTGACGTGTTATTATATATATGTGAATGAATTCATTTAAAAAAGGGCTAAAGAGATGTGGAAAGAGCTGTAGATTGAGATGGATAAACTATTTGAGATCAGACCTCAAGAGAGGAAACATAACTCCTGAAGAAGAGAACCTCATTGTTAAATTGCATTCCACTTTGGGAAACAGGTAACTTTATTTAATTATTTGAACAAAAGTTGATTTATTAATATCTATTTATTTCCAATAGAAAATACACGATCACGTGAAAGCATTGATCAAAATCTAACGTCGTGAAAAAAGCATTTAAAAAAAAAAATTAACGCTAATTAATTGCAGGTGGTCAATAATTGCGAGCAATCTACCGGGAAGAACAGACAACGAAATTAAAAACTATTGGAATTCTCATCTCAGCCGTAAATTCCACGGTTACTTCAGGAAACCAACCGTCACTACTGTAGTCGAGAATGCGCCTCCGCCTCCGAAGCGTAGACCCGGAAGAACCAGCAGATCCGCCATGAAACCCAAATTTATCCTAAACCTTAAAAACCACAAAAACCCTAATTCTTTAACGGCAAGCAAAACCGACATTGTTTTGCCAACTACAACAATAGAGAATGGAGAGGGAGAAAAAGAAGACGCATTAATGGGGTTGTCAAGTAGTAGCTTAAGTGGAGCCAAGGAGCCTGGTTTAAGACCATGTGGCTATGTAGACGATGGTTATTGTAACCCAAGCATTGATGGCGACGTTGGAGTTTTGTCTCTCAATGACGATATTTTCGATTCTTGTTTTCTATTGGACGACCCTTATGCTTTCCACGTGTCCTCATGTGAGTCGAACAGCGTAAAAAACTCTGAGCCATATGGAGGTGTCTCCGTTGGGCACAAAAATATCGAATCGATGGCTGATGACTTCGCTGACTGGGACTTTGTATGGAGAGAAGGTGAAACCCTTTGGCAAGAAAAAGAGAATCTTGATTCGGTTTTGTCGTGGCTGTTAAATGGAGAGGAAATGGAATCTGAGACCGGACAAAGGGGCCCCAACGACTTTGGAGGATCTTGACGAAGAAAAAAAGAATATGGCTGCTTGGCTTTTGTCTTGAAAGATTTGGCACCATGCATACGCTTTTTTCTCCGTTAGATTTTAGCAAAGGTCCCCGTGGCAGGATCTGGTCGGTTTGTGAATAGAACATGTTTTTTTTGGTGTGAATAGAACATGTTCGTACCCTTGCGTTCGTTTTTTAGTTTTAATTGTGCAAGTCTTTTTTTCATGTGTAAATACGATTTTCGGCGTTGGAAAATAAAACAAAATAAAGTCGCCTTCTTAGTTAAATTACATATGATCCATTAAAAATTACACCATTGTTGTACAAAAAAATATATGCTAAAATACAAAAAAAAATTCATCTTTTTAAATTTAATTTCCTAAGGCCATCTCCAACGGCAAGAGACGAAAAGTTAAATTCTTCAAAAGAAAATATTAATATTTTAATTGTAAAAATATATCTTAATTGTTTTTAATACAATGAATCAGTAAAAGATGACAATCGTTTTTCAACACAGAAAGAGAACCTCCTTCATCCCTCTGTGTTAGAGATGCTCTAAGATGTTTTCTTTGACAATCTCTAAATAAGAGACCCATCTTAAAAAAGAGAGATCTAGTAAAGAGCTTAAACAAGAGACTCTAATTATCGTATTGTGAATCAGCCATTCTCTATTGACATTGCCTAATAGTTGCTAGTTATTCTAGGTTGAAGTATTTTTTAAACAAAATTCTTTAATAGACCAAAACCCGAGCTAATTAATTTCCTAAGCGCAGAGTAGACGTTTTAGCAATAGGAAGAAGAAAAAAACACATACTGAGAGGGTCGCTATCTTTAGGTTTAGAAGGACGATTTGGTCCATTGTCACTATAGTATAATGCCTCACGTGATGCCATGCACTTTTGTCTCTCTACTTTTACCGGTGGCCAAATGAAACATTAATACTCCTTTTCCTTTATATAGAATAAAAATTCAATAAAGTTCATGAGATGGACCATTTCTACGAATTGACCGCAAACTCGGACGCATTTCATTTGCCGACATAGTACTAAAATAGAAGAAAAATAATTAACAAAATCATGTAAATGCAGAAAATGTAAAGTTCTCAAGTCTCAAGTACAAACAAATTAGTGATGTTAATTTTAAATTCATTTCATCAATTGAACGGTTCTTTATACCCCCAAAAAATATCAATAGAAGGTAAGAAATATTATGTTAAAAAAAAAAAAAAAAAAAGAAAAAAAAAAAAAGAAAGAAATATTATGTTTTTTTAAAAAGTACGGTAAAAGAATTAAATAATACCAGCTGCCAAAAAAAAATCAAATGATATGATTATTTTTGTCTGAAATGATATTAAAATGGAATTTATTGTACAATCGTCGTAAAACGTTTTTTTTTTTTTTTTGTCTCAGGAAACATTAACTGTTTTACAGAGTCAAAAACAGAATGAAGATTTTTAAAAAAAAAAAACAAAGGGCCCAAAAATGGCCGACGAACCAACCATACTGTATTTCACACAGTTGTCGGTAAGAGAGCACGATATGTCATTTTTGAAAAAGCGTAGAAAGAAGCCTATAATAGGCCCAATAAATAAGGCCCAGTAAGATAAACAGGCCACTAAAACGGCCTTGTTTGATAATATTCAATCGGCGTTAGACTAACTTCTCCACTCTTTCTTCCCGGCGGAGCGACTACGATGTTTGCGGCGGTACGAGTACGAGCTTCTCTCAAAACTTTGTTCCATGGCAGACACAGCTCATCTTTCAGCCGATATTGTACGTTATTCATTAATCTTCCTGTACTAATTCTTGCACTTCCGAGACATTTTCAGATATTTGAATCCCTGGAAAATGAAATGGCTGCTTCGGTGTTTCTCAGGTGAAATTGCAGCGATTTCGAAGCGTATTTCACAAGATAGGTGAGTTTTGATTTCGTGTTTCTCACTTTCTTCCGTGTTTTGTTTGCTTGACATTGTTTCGTTAGGGTTTTAGATATCTTTAGCTTAGAAACAATTGCAGTTGAGTTTCTTCGTGTTGGTAGATTCAGTGATGGAATGCTGATTCTGAATAGCTTGCTATCATCTGGAAATGGAGTAGGAATCAAATTGCTCAACCGCGCATTTCATAGCTCTCCACCGTGTAATTACTCGGAATCTGATGTAGGTACGCTTGTTAACTAGAACTTTGATGATTGAGAATCGACAACTTCGTGCTCTTGACAATGGTTTTGCTTCTGATTCTTTATCTGCAGGAGTGAAAACTCATGCACCTGCGTTATTTAGTCATCTTGAGGATGATGATTATTTCTCAGAGTTGGGTTCTGTAGAGAAAGAAGTGGATCGGAATGTGATTGTGAAGATGTTAACTGAGAAGCCAGAGCCTGTTCAGGTTGAGAATCCAGTGATATCTCTGGTACGTTTTATAATCGTTATTGAGATCTCCTTTTGTGTTCACTGTATCCATAGATTGTCAGCTTGGTGCTTTTCGCAGCTCAGGTTTGATCCGAAAGGGTTATATCTTCTTACTTGAGCTGAGTTTGTTTGTTTTACCAGAATACTAAAGGCAAGAAGAAAAAGAAAAAGAAGACGAAGCAGGAACAAGCTTCTGATTCAATTTCGAAACCAAAGTTATTGACTGAAAAGCCAGAAGTTTCTTGGGTATGTACGTTTACAATATTTATGCAAACTTTTTGCGGGTGTTCTCGGTTTAGAATGCGTTCATTTTATTCCCATCTGGACAACATTTGATCATCTAAGTAGCAATGTTTGATTCAAAAAGATCAAATGCTCATAATTGTCCTTAATCCATTTTCTTACCAGAAAGTTAATGGCAAGAAGAAGACGGAAGCATATGCTTCTTCACCAGCAAGAGATGCTACAGATTCAAATATTCCTTTCTCCAAGCCAACCATGTCTTCGTCTCAAATTCAAGATCACAAATCCAAATCTCAAAACATAATCAGTCCCAGTTTTGAGCCAGGAGATGAAAATAGCTCCAAGGGTTCTGCTACCTCCAATACACCCTCAAATCATCCCTCTTCAGTACTCGTTATAAGGATTGGTAATCTAAATTCGAAAACAGCTGATTCAATGATACACTCGATGTGCTTGTCGATTTGCCCTCTTGAGGGGATTGCTAGGGTTAATGAGGACACTGTTGACGTTTTATTTCGAGTGAAAAACCGAAACGAAGCAGATTCTATACTGGAAGAGTAAGTAAAGCCAGTCTTATATGGTTCTTGATTCAAAAACCCTAAAGATGTTCCTAGTTCTTTGTTGAATTACATTGTTAACTCTTTTTTTTTTTTTCAGGCTAAAAGATGCAACCGTAGATAACTCTCAATGGACGGCTGAGATTGTACCAGAAGCCGAAGAAGGTTCGAAAAATCAAATGGGTATGAGAATCACAAGCTGTTACGAAGATTTGGATAAGCAACTGGTAATGCAGCGCATTCTTGGAAAAGACTTGGAAGTTCTGCTCCATTCAGTAATGCATCTGGAGAATCACCCAATGGCTCGAGGAAGAGACTAACTAAAGTTAGTTAGGTATTTGTTGAGTCTTGCAGTCCCTTTGATAATCGATTGAATTGGGGGTTGGTTTGATCAAATTTAAAAGTAAGGAGGTATAACGAAACTATTACGAATTACAGGCGGTATAAAGTTTTTCTGTCCGTCAAATTAATAATAATGATGGCACGAGGGAACTGATAGACTGAACGAGACTGTATGGGCCTAATTTTGTCAGGCCCGCTAAAGCAGCGGATTAATGTTAAGCCCATTAATGAGACTGTATATCTCCACTATCCGTGTAACTTTTCGAATGAGAGAATTTACATTTTTTTGGTTTAGTCTTATACTACTCTTTTGTTGGTAAATCTGAAGTTTCTGTCTAGTGTATGAAAGTTCTAGCCTTTGTTCATCTTTTCATTTTCTATTAGTGTTTTAAATTTTTCATATCCCCCAAAGATAAATAAATAATACTAAAATATTTAAAAAAAAAAAAAAAAAAAAAAAAAAAAAAAAAAAATACTAAAATATTTTTTAATATGTTTTTATTTTATTAAGTCCACTTGCCATATATATATATATATATATATATATATCCAGATATATTTGATAATGATTTGAACTTTAGAATTTATTGAGAGCTAAGAGATTGGTCACTTCATCCCAGATTTTTTATAAGTTTTCTATATTTGTAAGTTTCTCAAATGTAATTTTTCCCCCCAATCTTCTACACCTAAATTATGGTATCAGTCGTTATTAAAGAAAATATGAAATTCCTATTATAGAATAAAAAATAGAAACTAAAGCTTACATTGGTTATCGGAATTAGAAAGTTCCCACTCATAAACAGTGAGACAGATCAGATCAGCACAGCTAAGCGATGAAGTGTACAGTTACATAGCCGATTGATTGAAGTGACTCTTCCCTCGTCACTTCAATCAATCAAAATTATTTTGCAACTTGTATTTTTTTTCCCATCTACTATTAGTCCAAACACAATTAAATCAAAATTAATATTATTACTTATTTTATTGTTTAAGTTTTTGTCTTAGAGCTAGTAAAATAATCTTAGGCCGGTCCTATGTATAATTTACATGTTACATATAAAAATAGTTTTGTAGAACTTATTATTTTATTCTGATATGAGTAAAAAGGAAAGAAATAAGAACAAGTGTCCTTAAAATGTATTTAGGACCCATGACACGACTGACTTTAATGTAATCTGTCTCAAATTATTACTCTTATTGAGAATCATATGGAGAAGAAAGAAAGAAAAGTGAGATTTTCTCTTTTCAGAGGAGTGGGTCATGTTAAGTATGGACCTCCTCTGTTTTTACTACTAGTCTCTTACGACAACTCACGTGGCCTTTTTTATTTTGTTTTCTAAAATTTCACAAGTGAAATCAGAGAGACTACTTAAATAAATTTTGGGCCCAAACGGAGACAAGTTCATGTGGGTTGAATCGTATATTTCAGATAGATAAGACAGCTAAATGTTTTTTCTGATGTGCGGTGGATCTTTAAAGTCGCTATACGTGCACGTCATTTATTTATTCTGGTTTTATTTTCAACGACACTTTTCTTTGTCGCACCAGTGGCAGCGAGAAAACGACACCGTTCTTATTCCCTTTACTCGTAATTATTAGTTAAAATTTCTTGCATACTTCACATTTCAAGATAATGTAATAATGCGTATCATAACTTTAAACTAGTGACATCCAACCATATGAATTGATTTGATAGTGACAAGTTAAATTGGTAATAAGAGCAACTAAAAGTATGATAAGTTGTGTTGAATTTGATCAAGAATAGATATTTTAACGAAGGAAACAGAAACCATACATAACTCACGGTGGGGTTCTTCTTCTCAAGTCTCAACAACGGGATGATGTAATATGGTATTAATGTGAAGAAATAATATTGATATTACCAATAAATCATATGAAATAATAATACAAGCAAAAAGACAATTAGATAAGACTTAAAAGATGCAGTTTCAATCACCAAATGTTAATAAGACAAACAACAAATGGGTCATGTAGATGATGAAGATGCTCTCTCTTAACTCTTGAAACACATTACTCCAAAACACAACAACTCACTCATGGCCCCAATTTTTTTATTCTAATCTCTTTCCTGCAGATCTCACAGAGTAGTAGTAGTACTTGCAAAAAATTATTGCACTCTCTCTCAACAAACTAAAACCCCACCCACCATTATTGTTTTCATTACCTTGTCCACAAAAACACTAAAAAAAAAACTCACAAAAACTGTTACTACAACATTACTGTAATTTTTTTAGATTCTGAATACGTACATTCCCAAGAACTAGAAGAGAATCATAGTAATCAAATCTAACAACTGAAAAATACAATGACATATACTATAGTCTATATATAACTTAAGGATTCATAATCTATACATAAAACATTGGCTTAATCTATAACTTAACCGGACGAAACTGGGTTTAAGCTACGTGCTAAACCGTTCAAGGCACTGTAACCTTTTGAACTAAACCCTAAACAGCCAAAGAGTCCATGCCTGTAAGGCAAATATGTTCTCTTCTTCATCTCCTCTGCTTGAGCTCTGTTCGTTGTGTAATGTAGCTCGTGAGCAGACGGCTGCAACCCTCTCCGTTTCGCTATCCCGTTTGTTGGTTTTCCGGTGACCGGAGCTTTCTTCGCCGGCGGTTGTTTCTGCTTCTGCTTCTTGGATTCTACGGCAGCGTCAACTGTTTCTTGAATCGGTTTCTCTTCAGGTTGAGAAGATTTGAGTTTCTTGTCTTTGAAATTAGAAGGAGAGAATGAAATGTTGGACCAGAACTTCTCTTTCCCGTTGCCTCTTCCTTCGCTTTTGCTTCTATGAAGCAGATCTTTAAGAAAGATCCATTTCTTAGAGTTTCTACCGTAAGACGATGATCGTGAAGACGAAGCAGAACAAGACGGTGTCGTTTCAGCTGACGGCACGTTTTCGTCTTCTTGAAGCTTCCTTATACACTCCTTCACTTCTCTCTCTCCGGCGACTTCTTCCTCTTCTTCTTGGTTCCATTGATACGCTGCGTTTCTGAGCGGAGAGAGAGATCTGGCTTTCCGGTGAACAGATCTGCTTCTTAGTTTCAGATCTCTCCCACGCTTAACCATCTCACCGTTTGGTTTGGTCTCATCGTCTTCGTCGTCTTCTTCCTCGTTCTCCAGATCTAGAAGCGGAGATAAGATCTGAGGTCTCTGAAGATGCGAAGAGAGCTTCATCGGCTTGATCTGGCCATTAGAGAAAAGCTCTTCAGCTGAAGTCATGGAAACGCCGCCTAAAGGACCACTGCTTGAAGATAACCTCGACGAGAAATCAAACTCAAAGTCGCCGCATGACGAGGACTCGAGCTTTTTCTGATTCTCAGATGAAGAAGAGGCAGAGCAAAGGAAGAAATGCATCGGACTCGACGGTGCACTAAAGAAATAACCCGGCGGAGGACCACGACCGGGACTAGAAGGAGCACTGACAAACGGAGTCGAGCAAGCAGAGCCAGAACCAAAGTCGTCACTGAAACGCGGCGTATCAGGATCGCCATGGCCAAAACTCTCAACAAGATCCATAGTAAGTGTGATAGAGATTGTGGCTTCTTTCTCAAGAAAATGTTTTTTCTTCTGCAGAGAGCGCGAAGAGCGAGGAGAAAGAAGCAGAGATATGCAGTGTATGTATGAAGCTGCTTTTTTATTCTCTCTATTTATTGACCTTTTTTTTTAATTCTTAAAAACCTTTTTCTTTATTTATTCTGTAAAAGATATTCTTATGCTATTTTCCTGTAGAGAAAAGTAAATAACAGTATTCGCGATCTTTTTTTAATTATCTGACTTGTTTTGTTTGCATGAATTAAAAAGTTGAAAATCTACTGGTCTTAATTAATATACGTTATTCATCGTCTTTTTTTTTTTTTTTTTGATGATGATTTGATAATTTAGGTAATGCTATGGTTGTTGCTTAGGATTCTGCAGGCTGATCCAATAGAATAAAAAAGAAGAAGAATCTCTACGGGTGTTTTTGGAATTTTGCAATGCCATTTTTACGAGTTCGCCCTTAACGATCTTTCTATAATTTTCTCTTAATACCCCTTTAATTTATTATTCTTTCAGACAAAACATTTATTTTGTTACCTAATGACTCGACGAGTGAAAAAAAACTAAAGACCAATGCTCTAGCCTCTAGTGACATTCAATAAAAAGAATCAATTCAAGTCGGCTTATAACCTTTTTCTCCTGACATAAGCTATAACTCACTTTTTCAATTTTAATTTAAAATACAAGATCTGATCTCAATAAATAAAATGAGCCAAAAACAATGTTCGTATTCATGTATTTATTATCGGATCAGTAAAACGATTTCAAAATTTTCGAAATTTAATTTTTTTAACTGGACTTCAATTTGTTGTTTATTATCTACATTACTACCTTTTTTTACATGACTACAAATGTACATATGATGACCTTTGTATACGTCAAAATTTTATTTTATTTTTGTCTAATGTGGACATCAATTTATTTATTGGAAATAATTGAAGGCGTGCAGAATCTGGAGAAAATTACAAATGATTAACGACAATTAAAAGTTTTTAAAAATAATTCAATCAGACAAGCGGGGCAATATTGTAAAATCAGTTAAGGTTATTTCGGGTAAACCGAATAAAGAGAAGACGTGGCTTCACGTGCTCAGCTATGATCGTGCGTAGAAGGTGCTTTGGTGTCTTCTTTGTTTTATTAAACAAAAGATCACAGTTCCCGATACTGTTTAATACTCTCTCTATTCGTACTTACTTAATGGGCCAGAGAGTTAGGTGTTACTTGGGCTTCATTAAGATATAAAAAAGCAATAAATTGGGCCACAAACATGGACCGGTGTTTTGACCTGAATCGTTGTAGACTAATTTATATATCCACTCATACAACGACGGACGACACGAATCTTGCTTTCAAGATCAAATCAAAACACTCCCTATAATGGCTATAACAAATCTCTTTTACCTTTTAACATCAGCAAAAAAAAATGTGACCGGAGATTATCGCCGGCGACAGCCCAAGACACGAAAAATAAAATAGAAAAAGATTAATCATCCGTGTATAATCTGAGAATATCTGTTTTTGATCCAACGAAACCCTTTCTTGACCGTGGTTTTGACTTTTCCTTCCAAAGCATAAGTCTTATACGTCGCGATTCTCTTCTTCCTCTTCGTTTCTGCGTCGAGTAATCTCCACGGAGTAGCAGTTGTACGGGCCGTAGAACCTGATCCCGGTGGTGGGGAAATAGACGGTTGAAACTTCGGTGAGTCGGGTCGAGCTCCACCAACGCCGTAACCTTTACCGTTAACTATTTCTATCCATCGATCAACGGCGATTGTTCTCGGGTGCGACCCGAACCCGTCCATTTTTCCGGAGCTTCGTCCGAATTGGAAAGAAGCAACGGTAAAAGGAAAGAAATCAAATGATTCTTGATTTGGGAAAGTGAGATTAATAGGAGGAGATGGTGAGAGGCCATGCGATCAATGAGGCGATTTCTCGTTTTTTTTTTGAATGATGGGTTAATTTAAGTAAAAGAAAAAATAGATTATTGTAAAATTCTTTTATTTAATGATAATAACCAAAGGATCCACGGTGAAAGACCAACTCTACTGTGTCAACCAATTGACACTCATATAAATCACACAATGCATTACATGTTAAAGTTTCTTATTTCTTACATTAGATGTTTCAAATTATCTAGTTATTCTTACTATACATTGTGATCCTTTTTCTTTCTGAATATTGCAAAATAATTTTGTGAATGTCAGCCTGAAAAAAAATGAGCCATTACCTCATTTTTATAATTTTGAGTTGTTTATAATCGACATGTTAGTGTATTTTTAGAAATATATTAAAATTTCATAACAATGCTTTTTATGTGATCATTTTGTATTTAGAGTGAAAATTAAGTGTTAGTTCGATTCTGTTTGAGGATTCTATAGGACTATCGCATCCGCGAAATATCCGTTTGTGGTTTATATTTTTCCTTTTAATAATATGGGAGGCTTGCCTCCCTTGGCTTACCAAAAAAAAAAAAGAGATGAGATACAATTGGGTTATGTTTCCTTACAATATTCGGCCCAATTTTCGGATAGTGTATTAGGCTCATAAAACAACATCTGGTTGATTTATGGGTCTGAATGGAACAATGGTTCAAAGACGGTTCTTGGACGGAGCAGATGTACCGCAAACTTTGTTACCATTCACGTTTATATGTGAAGCAAGTGGATTTTCTCAAAAAAATTAATATTTAATAGAACTACAGTGAAAGCGTGTGAGATTTGTGAAGAGAAATGTTGATCCACCTTGCACAGTAGGCACGCTCTATTTGCTGTGTGTTTTGCTCCACTTCTCAATTTTTTTTGTGATTATTATTTTTTAAATATGTTTTATCACTTTTATGTCTTATTGTACCTATATTTACTACAACACATGTTTGAAGTAATTTCATTAATTCAAAAAATCTATTTGAGATCATTATTAATATTATTATTTTTAGAAAATTAAAAACAACATATTATGTAATTATTCATATCTATATGTTGTATTTATTAACATTTTATGTTATTATTTGTATAAAATGACAAATCATTGTAATTAAATAATATACACTTTTTGTACTTATTAGTATTTATGTTATTATATTGTATCTAAAATACTAAAAATATATGTTCAAAAAATCATAAATCAATATAGCAAATTTTAATTTCTTTAATTTTATATAATATAATTTAATATGTATAGTATTCTATAATTTATTTATTTTAAATTGATATTTTTACTATATAAAATTTGATCCGTATAATGTAAAATTATCGTTCTTTACAATATTATTTTATTTGTATTATCTGATCCGCTTTCACCATTCAACATATTTTTTAAAAGCGTTCGAACCGCTTGATCCGCACTTGTACCGCCAAATCTGCTTGATCCGCTTTTGTTCTGCTTGATACGCTTGATCCGCTCCGCTCGATACGCTTGATCCGCTCCGCTCGATACGCTTTCTCCATTCGGAGCCTATGATTCGGAAACTAAACAAAACGTCTGTCTGGTTTAGGCCCATCTAGTAGTCTTTTTTTTTTTTTTGTTGGCGGCCCATCTAGTTTCTAAGCACACCACATTGGTGTCACAAATACATGTGACACTTTTGATTAATTAATAGCATAAATGCGTTTGATGTTAACAAAAGAAAAAACAATATTGCACGCATTTCCCGCGTACGGTGTAGAGGGAATCTATCGATTTGATCAAATCACAGCTCGATGATCTCATTAATGTTCCCTTTACGTTTTCTCAAGTCAAATGTTTCCCACGAAAACTAATAATGTACTTATGTACACATGAAACCGATGTAGTCTCACCTAAAACATGCTACAATTTATTTGATTTAGACATTTTTACCTAAATACTCCTTTCGTTTCAAAATATAAGACGTTTAGGTAAAAATACGTCGATTAAAAAAATCTACTTTTTCAAAGTTCAGCCAATCACAAGGGCGGACCCACGTTCACAATGAGGAGGTCAAGTGACCTGGTTAAATTTGCAAATCCTTAAGTAATTTTCAGCAATATTATTAATTGACCCTTGTTAAAAAAAAAAAATTTCCACTTTCCGTTTCACTTCAAAGGAAAAAGCATTCATTCTTTGTCTTTTTTTGGTAATTATTAATGACAATTGTAACATTTAATGCAAAATAAACCAAAACATTATACAAAAGAATCATGTTTCCATTTTTATATGGATTATTTAATTTATTATGGTATAGTTTTTGTTGACGTTGCAATTTTTATTAAATGTATGTGACTAACTACTAGTTAGTAATTAACAAAAATTAATTCATTTCATCTCATATAATTTCAAATTTATAAGATATTTTACATTTGTTTCATTATTTATTAAAAATACAATAATTTTGCTCTTTTTTTTAAAAAATTATGTTCTTATTTTGAAGGTTTTTTGTGTTAAATTTATCGTTATAATTTTGCACCGGGTGAAAAAAATTTCTGGGTCCGCCACTGGCCAATCATAACAGAGACTTCATAATAAAAATAATCATAAAATATTAAAGTAATATATAATTTGCATAGAAACTTGAAAACGATTTATATTTTGAAACAAAAATATTTCTCCAAAACGATTTATATTTTGAAACGGTGGGAATGTATAGTAATTTCAAAACATTAATGTTTGGAAGATCTTATGCATTGTTAATTTGTTATGCATGCGTGTCTCTCTCACCCTCTATATTGTATAGACTTGCGATGAAGAGAGATCCAACGGTTGGGATTTAGTGGAGCCTTTGTCACATGGGCCATGGCCCATAGGAGTCTCGTCACACATCGCCATTATTGCTACAGCGATCGATTCGCGCTAAACGCCACTACGCTTATTACTTAAAATAATCAAATGTAATATTCGTTAGACACTAAATACCAAAATGCTGAGATATTAATGACCAGTGCCCTCATGACAAGAATCACGTATAGTCCGATCAAACATGGAAATCAACGCTAGTTAACAAAATAAAAAATCAATGATAACGCTTGGTCATTATTCAGACCATTCATTTTAGATAAGAATATTCGACTGATGCACACTGTTACCTGCTTAAAAGTCAATATCTTAAAGTTTCATACATGTAGTGCTGAAAAAAAAAAAATCATATGCATGGGTAAAAAGGATTTACTTTCATTTTCTATAAAACTCTAAAAAGATATATAAACTCAATCGGATGTCGCGAGAGGGACATGGATCATTCATTGTTGGATTTATTACTAACTAACTGTAATCGTTGTAATTGAAAAGAAAACTTTAAAAAAGGAAAAGAAAAAAATGTGTATCAGTATCATACCGAAAATTATTACGTATAATCGCATACATATAGATGCGTGTAACTAATCACGTGTACGCAGCTGCCTAGACAGTGGAATTAACCATTTAGGTCTTCTTAGTCATTATTATAAATCCCAACCAATCTCTCTTTCTCTTTCTCTTTCTCTCTCTTTTTAATTCCTCATTCGTCTATCTCTCTATAGAGAATGATGGAGATAACGCCGAAGAGGTACTGGCGGAGGTGGAGAGGATACGAGAAGCTTGATGGGTCATCAGAGACGAGTTCCGGTCGAAGGAAAGGTAAACGGATCAAAATGGATCCGACCCGCAAGAAACGTTTTTGGAGGATCAAGATTGTGCCGAAACTGAGGATCCTCAAAACGGCGACGCCGAAGAAGTTTTTGGTGTGGCTACGTGATTCATATGTTAAGATGATGATGCGGTTGGCTAACTCACGGGTAGTCGGATCATCTGGATACGGTGGATCCGGATTCGGGTCGGGTCAAATGAAGGAGTACGATGAGAAAATGCTTGTGGAGATTTACAAGTCGATACTGATGGCGCAGGCGCAGGGGAATCTCGTGCACCGAGAAACACCGAATAATAATCATAAGCTTCCTTCTGAACCAGCGGTTGTCTCTGTCGTATCTTCTGTTGTTACTTGTTAGGTAATAAAGAACAAACAATTATCCTTTTTTTTCTTTATAATAAATTTCCGATGTTAAGAATCAAAATTGTTGACTTGTTTGATACTATTTCGAGATTGATGATAGGCAAAGTTGTGATTTTGATCTGTATCAAATTTATAGACAAAAAAATTAGTACAATAAAGAAAGAAATAGTACAATAAATAGATGGTGGATTGTGGGGGTCCAATTTTATTTCATGCGTTTTTTTCATTTATCTTTCAAGTTTTGTATAAATCTATGTTTCTGAAATATAAAGATTTGCATTTACATCGTAAATATTTATGGTTTGTATAGTTTGATGTACCAATCATGTCGTATGTGTGATTTGTTTGTATCAAATCGCCTCTATAACTAAACCTATAATTAATCTAAGTTTGTTGACTGTTTTGTGGAAATTCGGTTGACCACTTTTGTTCAATTAAAGTACGAAAACCTTCTCAGTGAGATGGAGGGTTTTGGTTTGGCACTTGTTATTTTCAAGTGGATAAGTGATGATGAATCAAAATGAGTCATCAAGCATGTGAGCTAGTGGGCCTAAACCTTTCCTGAGGAAGCATATTAACTACGAATATTAGTTATACGATTCACAAAAGTATATAATATCCTTTAAAACGCATAATTAGTTATTCATCAATAGTCAATTATACGGATAAACTAATTATTATTCGAAGAAGATGTGAGATCTTTTATCAAATTCTTACCATATTTGGGCTAATCTTTGTCGGTGTTATAAATTCGAATACAGTTACGTTCTCACCAAAACAAATAATTGAAAAAACTGCTTGTTCTCTCTGAGCGACGAAGAAGGCGATTACCCAACAAAGAACCCTTTCGTTAATTTCTTTCTGGCCGGCGTCGCCTCCGGCGTCGGCCATACTTCCTCTTTTTCGTTTGTAGTTTATTTTCTTCAAACATCTTCTTCACTTCAGACTCATGAAAGTGATCTCGATTGATGATGAAAAGAGATGGGTCTCACCGACCCTTCAATACATGAGTCATGTTACGAAGGCAAAGACCTTGAAGATAGACCAGATGCCTCGTCGGTATCGCAACCATCGAAAAAAACTCAGTCTTGCTAGATCTGATACTCTCTCTTCCATAATTATGCGATTTTGTTGGTCCCCAATAGCCATCCATCTCTCTCTTTTAGAGCGTTTTCCCGGCGTTCACTATTGTGTTATTGTCGGCGTTTTATCTCCGATTGCGTTTCATCTTCTTCTTGTAGCCAAGTAGTCATCATTGGCCCACGAATGAAGTGGTGTTTTCGGCAGTTGTCATTTTCCTCTGCCAAATGGTACGGAGATGTAATTTGGACATTTGATCCTGGTATCATTGGGACTCAGATTGACAGTAAAGGCAAATTGAAGATGTGTTTCATGCAGACACCGTTTCATAGTACCTGGTCGAGGCAGTGCCTAAGGATATGGTGGAGAGAGATAATGTTGTCTTTGTTTTTACGAATATACCTCAACAAATTTTTGACTTGGATATCATCATCGATCAAGGAATGTGGACGGCCATCAATCATTAATTTAAACACGAGCCTTTGGGGATGTCTACATGGAACGAGATTCATAAGATGGTATTCATCATTTCAGCAATTATGGGCATTGGATATAACCAAGATAGATGTCATCTTCTATTGTTGGAGATGTTTTGATGGGAAGCGATGTAACAGATGGATCGCAACTAATGATCGTTTTAAAGTTTATTGGAGTTTCGTCAAAAAGACGATAGCCAAACAAAATGATCTTGTCGGATTAAGGAAGAAGACGAATAAGGAAGATAATAGATTTGATAATCTATTAGCGTGTAAGGCTTACAAAAGAAAGCGGCGTTTAATTCACTTGTTCGATTGTATTTTTTTTTTAAATTTTAATCATTTCTTGATTGTATGTGTATGTCTAAGAAATAACTATGTAATTTCTGTTTCAATTTAAATAAAGTAAAGCAAGATGTAAAAAAAAAAAAAGAATAGTTACGCTATTCGTATTTCTACAAAAATATTGGACTCATCGATACTAATCGAGAGGTCTTTAATAATGGACCATGTTGGGTGTAATCTTAAATTCTTGGGCTAAGTTTCGAGCCTACAAATCTATAATGGGCCCAAATGGTTTAAATGTTTAAAATGGGGCTATTTTCCCCGAATATCATCATCGGTTATGGAAAATGCATTTAAACCTGAATTTGGTTTGTAAACGTTTTTTTAGTCAAATCATATTTAAGAACTAAATTACATAAGTAAGGTGTGATGTTGTTATCGATCATTTACACATCTAGTCCTGACTAAATAAATTTGGCTGATAATTTCATCTCGAAATTAATAAAATGAAGGCACTTGCTAAACTCTCGTGATAACTAGGTTAATTACTTATGGCGCAAGCAATGAACGTAACGAGTTTCCACGTGGCTCCTGCCTAAATAAATTAGCCATCACTGTGAGTTGTGTGACCAAGTGTTAGCGCCTACACTGAAATTTCATATGCAAATAAATAGTGGACTTTATTATTTTGTTCCCCACGATAACAAATATATGCCTCTCAACAATTCCGTGCATTACAGTCAAATTTAAAACTAGCACTATAACTCTTCTTATATATTTTTTGAGACTCAATAAAGTATCTAAACAAAACCTAAATAAGTAAATAACGACATGATAAAAGAATCTTTTCTTAATGTATTACGTGTATGTACATATGTATGTGTGTGCCTTTGGTTATACAAGTTAATCAGGGAGTTGACCAAATTAAAGTCCCATTAGCTCATAAGTGTTATTCAGGGAGTTGACCAAATTACTTAAAAGTCCCATTAGCTCATAAGTGAATGAATGAATACTTGAACGTTATTGTGGCACATGGAGTTTCGTGGTCGGTCCATAAAAGAAAACAAGTTACATAATATGAAACATTTATTTATTGATTCTATAATCTTGTACCACGAACATTTCTACTTGTACTGAATCGTCCGATTCATTTTGTAATTGATTCTTGGAATATAATATAGTTATACAATGACGTTTGAACCATCCATGGTTGTTATCAGTTGTGAAAATATATCTGAGTCTACTTGTGTAATTAATCGTCTTAGTCCCTCACGATGAACATGTATAGTTGTCTTATACGATTTTTAATTTAAATAAAATAGGACATTTCAACTGTAATATTGGAATATCATTTATATTTCGAACTATAATATTAAATTTATTTTTATTTTTGTTTTCTAATAAAAAAGGTAGAAGAAAATGACGAAGCGTAAAGTAGACGACGTGTACCTGATGGTTATAAAAATAATAATTGTCTTTTGGTTTGAATTGGTATATGTTACCGACATATATAGTTCTCCATGTTAAGCAATAAGTATATGATATTCAGTGATAAATGATGATTATACGTATAATATACTGATGTCACTCACGCATCGCATAACAAATTAACAATGATTTGTTAACATAATCGTTTCGTCAAATATGCAAACTAATAAAAGAATTCCCTAAAATAAGCGAAGTGAAAACTTGAGCTGACAGATAGAATAATCTAATTTTGATTTTCTAGTTAAACATCCATAGGTCTGATATAAAGATTTTTCCAAACACTGGAAAATCTCTTTATGCTGAAAAATCTGAACATAGGAAGATGAAAAAATACAGTTCAAAGTTCACAGGAAAGTAAACGCTCCTATTATCTACCACTCATGAATCATGGGGTTCACTTGATCTGAAAATCTCACTTTATCGCATTAATAAACAAATTAATAGAAAGTTTTAAATGCTTGAGATTTGAATGTAATTAAGTTATCTTGTTACTGAATCAATTACTATTAGAAAGCTATGTTGTGTGCTATATCTCTAACTAACAATTACTTGTTCCAACTGAATTAGAATATCATTAATTTATATCAAATGTATTTAGCCGGGGAAGTAATTAGTGACTGTACTTCGTCTCTACGTTTTAAATCATTAAATAAATGTTGGTTTAGTATAAGTAAACAATATGCACATAAGAAGTAGTATTACTCAAATAGACCACCACTTAATTTTGGTTCAACGGACCAGACCGGATTATCCGGGTTGTTGGTCAAAGGTTAGCGATGGTTTTCGTGTTGAGATGACACATTAACCGCCGAACAGTATTCTACGCACATAAATGGCTAATGTCATCAATTTCTTTATTTTCTTTTATTCACGTATTCTTCAATAAACTCATGAATCTTTTCAGTCTTTAATTTGGTTTAGTTAAATGTTAATGAACACTTGTGCCTATATTTATTTATAAAACTCAGCTACAAAGAAATGTTTGATTAGGATTTTGGTTTGCGTTTGGTTTGGAATATTTTTTCTTTTCATGGATTTTTTTGTTAATAATCAAACAGTAGTTTTTAATTATCTTGGTCTGGATTTGGGTATTACACATATAAATAAATATACTATTTGTATTAGTGTTATTGTTGTATCACTACTTTGTTTCATATTGGAAAAATAAATACCATTAACATAGAACTAAGTAGATATTAATCTTAAATTAAAATTTTATTTTATTAAGACTAATACATACATATATACATAAATCTTAAATTAAAATTTTATTTTATTAAGTATAATTTAAGGGCATTAAAATTGAGTTTCAATTATAATTAAGTGTTATTTATAAAAAATATATACATTAAAATTTACTTATCACTAAATTTATATCACTATAATGTATTTATTATTAAAATTAAACTTATTAAAGTTAAATTTAGTATTAAATTTAAAGTTATAATAAAATAGTGAAATATTCTACATTTATATTATATTAAATCTGGACAGATTATATTTGATATACTGATGTATTTGCATAAACAAAAAAAGATTTTTTTGCCAAAAAAAACAGAAAAATATATTTTTCCATAAATAAGTCAATTTGAATCACGAGTGACAAAATGAATAGAGATAATATATAAACACAAGCATTAGGCTCTGTCGAGAAAACATAAATTTTCTATGATTAGGCCATACAAATAAGTAAGAATACAAATCTGTTTGTTGGCTTTGGAGAAATCCAAGGAATTAGTCCTTTTACCCATTTTTTCTCTCTCTCTCTCTCTCTCTCTGGCTTCTTCTTCTTCTTCTTCCTATCAAATCATCATCTTCTCTATATTACTAAAATAGAGAGCCAAACACATAAAAAGAGAGGAGAGGGCGTAAAACAGCAGACGGTGGCGCACCGTAGCACCGCCCCCTCCTAACCTGCGCCTCTGTTCTTCTCTTTCATTTTTTTTTTCCGGTTTCAGGAATTATTCCTCTCCTCCTCTCTCAGGTCGCTTCGATCCCAAGGCAAATAGTTTTCTGATTTTGATTCTTCCTCAGTCAGAATAATCCGATTCTTACCTTCAATTTTGGATTTTTTGTTCGTCTTCTTCTTCAGATGCATTCACCTACAAAACTCTGGCGGACATCAAAGGAACCCTAGCTTTTCTCCGGTCTTATATCGCCTCTATCGCCGCCGATCGGTGGTTTGATTTCAAATCCAAGAAGAAGAAACGCAGAGGTTCGATTCGTCGTCGTCTCAGGATGCTTTGGATCATGAGATTCTCCGGTTTATTCTCCGCCGCTTTGGTTATCATCGTCCTCTCTCCTTCTCTCCAATCGTTTCCTCCAGCTGAAGCTATCAGATCCTCTCATCTCGACGCTTACCTCCGATTTCCCTCCTCCGATCCACCGCCCCACAGATTCTCCTTCAGAAAAGCTCCTGTTTTCCGCAATGCCGCCGATTGCGCCGCCGCGGATATCGATTCCGGCGTCTGTAACCCTTCCTTGGTCCACGTCGCGATTACTCTGGATTTCGAGTACCTACGTGGCTCAATCGCCGCCGTTCATTCGATTCTGAAGCATTCGTCGTGTCCCGAGAGCGTCTTCTTCCATTTCCTCGTCTCCGAGACTGACCTAGAATCCTTGATTCGTTCGACTTTTCCCGAATTGAAATTAAAGGTTTACTTCTTCGATCCGGAGATTGTACGGACTCTGATCTCAACCTCCGTCAGACAAGCGCTTGAGCAGCCGTTGAATTACGCTCGAAATTACCTTGCTGATCTTCTTGAGCCTTGCGTGCGTCGCGTCATTTACCTAGATTCCGATCTAGTCGTCGTCGACGACATCGCGAAGCTGTGGAAGACGAACTTGGGATCGAAAACGATCGGAGCTCCTGAATACTGTCACGCGAACTTCACGAAGTATTTCACACCGGCGTTCTGGTCCGACGAGAGGTTCTCCGGAGCTTTCGCCGGGAGAAAACCGTGCTACTTCAACACGGGAGTGATGGTGATGGATCTAGAGAGATGGAGGCGCGTAGGGTACACGGAGGTGATAGAGAAATGGATGGAGATTCAGAAGAGTGATAGGATTTACGAGCTGGGATCATTGCCACCGTTCTTGCTGGTATTCGCCGGAGAAGTAGCTCCGATAGAGCATCGGTGGAATCAGCATGGGCTTGGTGGAGATAACGTGAGAGGAAGCTGTAGAGATCTACATCCCGGTCCGGTTAGCTTGCTTCATTGGTCCGGTAGTGGTAAACCGTGGTTCCGGTTAGATTCGAGACGGCCTTGTCCACTTGATACTCTTTGGGCACCTTATGATTTGTATGGACACTAGTCTCGCTGATGATGATGATGATGATGATCTCTGTTATTACATATTATAGTCTCAGCTGGTAAATTCTCTCATCGCCTTTGACAAAAATCAAAAACCATTAATTCTTTCTTTCTTCTTTTGATTTACCAACTTTTTGTTGGAATTTGTTTCGTTCCTCTGTATTCTATTCGATTGTTCTGTGCATGAAATAAAAAAAAAACTCAAGAAAAAAGAAGAAGACAGAAAACCATAGGATACATTCAGATTTGTTGTACAGACTTTTTACCATATGTTTTTTTAATATAATTCTGTCATCTTTTTTACTTGAACAAAGATTATTTAATCGTCTAATCCAAATTAACAGTTAGTTGAAAAGATTCACCGACAGTTTCTACTTGTTTCCTCTTGAGTCTTGAAGAACCTGGTCAACAATGTTTTTTGTTTATGAATTGTTTGTAATTGGAAATTTTTTTGCTTCAAGTCGGAAAATGATGGAAACATGGCAAAACCAAAGTGGAAGAAGGACACGACACTATGAAGAGTACATTCTAGTTAAACCATGGTGTCGGTCTCTTTGCTTACTTCACTTTTTAAAAAAAAATCTTTTTGTTTCTTTAGTGCTTGACTCTTTTTTAAAAAAAAATTGATGGGGTGATTATTTATAATAAGCTTTGAATTGATATATAAACTTATGATTGGTATAAACTATAAAGTAAAGAAAGCGTCACACTTTGATTGTTTTTGTCCTCCTCTGGTTGGTTCTTAACCAAAAAGTAAAGCACTTTGCTGTAATCAGATTAAATAACACAAATTGTATTTCAACATTTGTTACCACATATATAGTGGGAGTTATTGATTGATTAGTTGATTTCAATATTCGGTGAGGTCTTTCTCCGAAGCATAGATAGATATTCCCTTCCTTTTTTTTTTTGAGAGAAAAAAAAAACGAATTTATTATTTATTTTTCCTTAATTATTGCGTATGTGATACGGAAATCTTGATTTGATTATTGGAATCATCCATAATGATAGAGTGATAAAACCCTAAATTAAATATCATAAATTCATAATCGTAAAGAAAGGCAAAAAAAGTGGGGAATGATATTTATTTGTAGTTCACACAAAAGAGTATTCGAGGTGATGTGGAAATTAATTTTCAAATAAATAATAGTATAAAATACTGGTTAGTTTTGTTTTTTTGGGTTTCTGGTAAAAAATGGGTCCCACAAAAGTGATCTCCTGGCAGCACACGTGGCCAAGTAGCTGTAACCTTCTCCTGGAATCACCTGCTTCCATGTGCTCCGTGTCACTCTCCAAGCTGTCTCTCTTTTGTTTGTTTCGGTTCTTAATTTTGTGGCCATCGGTTCTTAATTCTCAACGTTATCACTTATATCACTCATTCATTCTTCTTCTTCATATATATCAAAATTTTGGGAAAATTTTCGACTATATTAAGCACACTATAAATATATATATATAGTTGGTTCGTATATTAGTTTTGCCTTCTTTTTTTGTAATTTGAAAATACAAAACAAAAGTGCTTAATCGTTGAACTTTGTGCTAAATCACAAAGAACACGCATAACCCGCTGGGCCAAAGTATTTAATATTAATTACAAAATATTAATAATCTCGTAAGGCCCATCTCAATGTCAACGGGTAAATTAGTTGCCTATTTTTATATCTTAAACTTAAATTTCATTATAACATATAAATTTAAAACCTGGATACTAAAATGAACTCGCAAATTTTATTTCTTGTATTTATAGCTAATAAAAACAGAAAAAGTAAATATCGTATAATGAGTTTCTGTAACAATATCATCGACTATAAAGAACCTTTTAAAAAGCCTCTGACTCTGAGCATCCGAATACAAAGGTACAAAATCCAAACACAATGAGTACTATCAATGTTGCGATTGAGATTAACCATGACCAAATCAACTTTATATCTACGCAAGTGATTATATAGATCACTCACTATTAAACCATATATAGGTCCGACCAAAGTAAAAAAAAAAAAAAAAAAAAAGGGCTACGAATGCAAATTGCAACAAGGTATTGCTATTCGCGTTTGAGGGATAAAAAGATCCCTTTACGAGAAATTAATTAATCAGAGAGTAGAGGTAGAGAGAGAGAGAAAAAAAAAAAAACTACGATAGATATATAGATGTATCACCTTAGATTGGAGAATCAATTCTGACCAATCTGATCGAAATTGTTGAATCCTTCAGGTGGGAAATACTCGTCGTGATCGAAATGGAAACTTGAATTATAGATCATGGGCGTATCGAAATTTTCCATGGCTGATAATGGCACGTGTCTAGGTTCTTGCTTGGTTAGCATGGAGGGTAAATTTAGAGACGAATGGTACTGTTGTTGCTGCTGCTGGAATTGGTCAATATAAGTGAAAGGTTTGGTCATGAAGTAGTTGTTGTTGTTCATTGGCAGGCAACTGTTTGATGGATACGGGATTGGGGATGCGGCTTGATTGTTCATGAAATATGATGCTCTAGGCGCAGCTTGATTGTTCATCAAATACGATGCGGTAGCATGGATATTGAGGTTCGAGCTTAGGGGCGGATTAGAGGCTGCGAGAGTGGCATCTGGCCCAGCATTACGCCAGAAAAAATCTTCTTGGGGCTCCTGGTGAGTGCGGGTCTTTTGTTTTGAATTTTGACGGTACTTCTGCCATCGGAATCGTTGTTAATTGTTAGCCCTAATTACTGGTTTCTTGTCCTCTAAGAAACAATAACCCGTAAAATAGAATAAAGATCGAAAATAAATATATAGATATATATTAATTACCTGAAGATGACTGGCTACGTTGTTTCTAGTGAGCCCCTGGACATTCATTTCTTCTTGCATATATTTGAGAATCGTCTTCGGAAAAGCCTCTGCGAAATGCAATTAAAAGGTAAGATAATATATTTATAATCAAGAAACTTACTTACTTATTCAATTCACGCAAGATTAGTGTGATTAATTACTCTCAAGGCTGCCGAGTTTTTCGACGGCTACTTCAAATTTGTGGTGAAGTTCAGTAGTCCATTGCATCCGCGGTTTCTTGGTCGCAGGCTTCTCTCCTTTTTGATCGGAAGAGTTTTTGGAGCCTTCTTCGTTGCTCTGATAGAGATTGTCTTGCCCTAAATCGTCGTATTCGTCCGGATCTGATTCAACCGTACCTGATTCACCCGGTTTATCTAAACCAGATTTTGACATCCTTTTGCGATAAACATGTCGCCATAGAACTGCAATGACCTCTTTGCTCACCGGCTTCACAAGAAAGTCACACGCGCCGTACTTAATCGATTCCATCACCGTTTCCTTTTTGTGATCATGAGACATGACTTGACACGAATAATTTCACATTAATTGGATCATATAAAAGACTAGAAAATGTCTTACTACGTTATATACGGAGAAAAATAAAAATAGAAATATTGGTATAATTAATTGTACATGTATACTTACTTACTACGGGTAAATCCATCTCTTTACCAATGGTATTGAGAGCGTCGAGTCCATTGATATCGGGCATATGGAAATCCCAAATCACTAGATCGATTTCTTGCTTATTCTTCATCAAGAAAGCCATGGCCTCTTCTCCGTCTTCGTATTTCGTTACTGAAACACGAAATTAAACATAACAATAAACCTAATGTAAAACCCTCAATTACCAAAAAATAAAGTAATGTAAAACCCTAAACCCTAATTAAAAACCCTGTCAAAGTAACATAAAAAAGAAACCCTAATTCAATCAAACCTTGATAGGAGTACTGTATCATGAGATTCTTCATGGGAAGTAAAGAATTGGAATCTGCATCTACCAAAAGAACTCTAATACTTGTAGTCGGGAACTCTTCATCGTCGTCGTTGATTGGAGATCCAATTTCATCATCACAAGGTACTTCTTTTCGCAAGTCGCGAGAGTTCTCATCGAGTAGGTTTGCTGAAACTGACATTAAAGATAAAAAATCTTGAATGCTTGAAGCGCAAGGAAAGAGATAGAGATTGGATTGAAGAAGGAAGAGAGAGAGAGGTTTATGAGCGTGCGAAAAACTAGGTATGCATATATATGGATCACGTGCGAAAAGTTGAATATTGGAAAGTATATATACTGTTATTAATTGTTAGGTATAGACTTCCTGTTTTTAATATAATTATCCATATAAATTATTTTGATTTAATAAATAAAAAATATCTTAAGGAAAATAACAAAAACTCTGCTGGTGTTTATCTTTGCTCGAGAGAAAAAAAAGAAACAAAACAGTATTGTTTGCGTTTCTCTCTTTAGCTCCGTTTCGCATGTTTATCGTTTAATCGTATAGGCAGTTTTACTTGGTGATCGACCTTGTCGCTATGGAATAAGGCCCACACAAATGGATACTCGATCTTATCAAAAAAAAAAAAAAAGGATTTTGTCACACCAGCAGAATCTTGAACTGTCTGTCCATAATCCATTTTGTGGTGTTTTCCTTAAAACTCTCTAAAGCTCTTGATTATCAGTTTGTTTTGTATGTCTATCATCTCTAGTAGGAACAGTTTGACTTAAACTAACACTTGTATCATCGTTTTGCTACGTTGCTAGCTGTTGTTTTTGGAATATTTGTCTCTGCTTATTGATTAACACTATGTTCTATCCACAGAGATGCTGCATCTACTTACAACACACTACTGACTTTATCGTGGCCGCTGCATTGCTTCCTGAATTACATGATGAGAAACTCTACAACTCTGGACTTCGTCAGAACACACTTTGAAGTTTGAACTACTCTGCTTGATCTTTAGTTGAAACACTCTGCTGAAATAAAGGGTATGATTTCTTCTTCTTCAACTCTATTTCGACTTTCCTGTTTACGTTCAGCCGTTTAGGCTATTACTTAAAGGGCACGTTATCAGGGGACAATGCTTATTAAGATTGAGCCAGGCCCATTAGTTCGTTTACTTGCCTTAGTCACGATCCCTGATCCGCTGATCGTGATGAGCCGCAGATTTAATTATGGAGCTAGACAAGGAGATGGAGTTTCTTGAGAAACTAGAAAGTTTGGAAATTGAGAGGTTGAGAAGTGGACTGATGAGTATTGAGGAGGTTCAAAACAAGATTTCCCAGCAGTGAGACTATAATGTTATAAGTCTTTGAAATTTATAAAACGCTTATTAATATATCATGCAAATTGTCTATTTAGTTTAAATGTAATAAACCATTTTTTATTTAATTAATGGAAAATGATAGTAGCTAATTATAAGAAATGCAAAAATATTTGATTTAGGATGACAAAGTGAATTAAAATTATGTTAAAACAAAACACAGAAAAATGAAACTGAATATAGATACAAATGAATTAAAATGTGATTTATGAACTTTATATAGTACAGATTGTTAAAGAAGACGTGATTATGCATTAGAAAAGGAAAAATGTAAATTGTTTCCATATCTATGCGAGCGTATTTAGTTGATTTTCCCATTAGACTATATATAGATATACTGGTCGTTAAACTTTCCAAATACTTCACATGTAATATGTAAATTAAGAGGATATACAGTATGTATAACAATTGTAAAAAGAAATATATACACTAAAAAGTGTGTTTTCCAAATATTCACATGTTTAATATAAGCCAAATCTTTACATATTTGACGTATATTTCTTTTTTTAAGAAAGATTCACTCGATATTGTATCCAACAATTGTGTTCACCTTGATATAAAATTGTATAAAGACGAAGTTAAACCATCTTTAATTCATAACTAAAAACCGACAGAAACTGCTTCAGCTAATGAATTGCAAAGGTATGTTCAGTCAGCTTCTCCCAATTGTATGAATTATTTATGGTTGTTGGTTCTAACAACGTCTTTTCCTCTATCAACGACAGGTTTCACCCATATGTCTCTGCCTTTTGATTTATTGGAGTCTTTTATTGAACCTAAAAGTGGGCCAAAAATTATATGTCTAATTTTCTTCTTCTCATTGACGATCTCCATTGTCGTAGAATTCATTAGGGAGTGGATAATTTTTCGTTTCCCTTACATGAACTGTTATTTAAGGCGTCGCGTCGTAGGCAAGACAGTAAACTTGAAGGAATCAAAATCTTAGCAGAAAAAAAAATACTACTCATCCTCCAGTTGTTACTCATATCTGTAATAGCTGATCTTAAGCTCTCTGGGTTTAAAGAGCAAACCAAAACTGTTGTTTTGTTGACTTTTGTGATCAGGATTTGTTGGGCCCTTGTCTCAGTTGGGATGATACTCGTTTTTCCCGTTGAAGTCAAAATGGTGGAATCGTCGGAGAAACTAAATAGAAGACTTTGACTTTGTTCTTCTACTACTCATATAGTTTGGTCTTCTGTATAGTCTGTTGATGTTTCATTTATGGTTTTGTTTTGGGTTGAGTTTCTACTTTAATGGTTTTCATATATATGTTATTTTTATTTTTAAAGTGGTTTTCATATACGTCGTGTAAATATATTATGCATCTTGGCATGACATATGTTTTGGGCTCACAACTCTGTTTTAATTCTAATACCGAATTGAGCTTATTAAATATTCACCAGTCCCAGTGGTATCATCATTTACCTTCAGTTGGATCCTAACGTAACAAAACCCAAAACTTTCCATTCTAGAAATGCCTTAACAACCTGTCCGTACGTGCCTAAAGACTGGAACTTTCACTGTCTGATTCAATACTTTGAGTCCAAAATTTTGAACTTTTGAGTTTACAACAAAGAGATTAATGAACAACTAATGAATATGTATACATGATAGCTTTCTCTAAAGCTTATTGCCATTAAATTGAAGCAAGACCCAAAAACTGCATAATACGATAAGAAGACACTACAAAATAACCAAAACTATTTGGCTAAACCAAATCAATTACTGTTCTACCAATCAGAGGGTTTAGTGTGGAAGAAGAACTCGAATAGATGGTATTGTATGAATATTTACCATGGCAGTACATACATACGATAGAAAAACTCTGTCTTGTTAAAAGGAAAAATAAGCTGATATATGAGCAAACATGGCGACAAAGTTTTTGACAGCTTGACACCAAATATATAAACAAACTCTTATCCTAGTATATAAGGCGTCGTGAGGACCATTATAACAAATATAGTGAGAGCAAAATCCAAACGTTAGCTTATTTAATTTAACATATGTTTTGGGTTGAGACTTGAGACTTGAGACTTGAGAGTATTTCTAAAAAAAATTATCCTTCTTCTTTATATATTTGTTTTTAAACAAACCGCTATTTCAAACAAACCTCTATTTCAATTCTTCACCAAATTGGGCTTCTTAAAATATTCACCAGGCCCATTGATATAATCATCTAGAATGACAACTTCTGAAAACTTGTCATTCTAGAAATACCGTAACCTGTGCCTAATAACTGGAACTTTCACTGTTTGATTCAATTCTTTGAGTCTAAATTTTCAACTTCTGAGATTACAACAAAGACAGTGAACAACTAATGAGTATGTTAGCTTATTGCCATTACATTAAAGCAAGACCCAAAAACAATAAGAAAACACTACAAAATAACAAAAACTATTTAGCTAAACCAAATCAATCACAGTTTACACAGAATAGTTTCATAACACCGAAATAAATTAGAGATTTGATTAGGGAATAAAAATGTAAGCAGAGTTACTAATAAAACACCTTCTGGGATTAAAAAAGAAGAAGGTATTATCAGCGAAACTCGCAACTTTGGTTTAGGCCTCACATGAATCAGATAAGTACTTCATCAAACTTAGCTGGGATTAAGAAAGGCCCTTTCTTCAATCTCTCAATTTTAAACCATAAATCAAACTACGAGCCGTAATAATTCTCTAAGCATACGACCAAACAAAGAAGAAGACCCCTAATACTAAGATCTATCTTCTGAACACAAACAAAATTACGAAGAGAAAATTAAATCGCCGAATAAATAACAAATCTCCGATCACTAGTCACTCGCCGCTTGATCTTGAAATTGAGGCAACGGCAAATATATAGGATTTTTTTCTTTTCATCATTAGGGTTTCCAATTTTCAATGTTTCGGGCTTATAAAATTGGGCTTTTAGTTGGCCCATTTGTCGTTGGATAATTAAACTATATGTTTATTAGATACTAAAAGTTGGGAAACAGTTAAAACTTAAAAGAGTGTGCTTTATTAGTTAGTGGGCCTATCAAATTTCCGAGCCCATCTTTTTCAGTTATCCGATGATCCTTTGGTCAGCTTGTGCATGCAGAGCCGGCCCTAAGCACAGGCTGATGAAGCATGTGCTTGTGGCCCCAAATGAATATATATTTTATCGGCCCTTTTATTTTGTGTAAGTCTTATTAGTCTAGTGGTAAGGGACTTTAGAAGTTAATGAGAGATCTTCAGTTCGATACTTACCCCCCCATCTGTTGCTTTTTTTATAACGAAATTTGGTCCTAAATTTTTTTGGGCTTGTGGCCCTTACAATTCCTGCGCCGGCTCTGTGTGCATGGTTGTTACTTGTTAATGGCCAACATGTTTTGATCGTGTATTACACTATGAGAATCCCAAACGTGATTATCATCAATTAGTCACCTTCAAAATAACATTTCTATATTATTATTCAAATTTTTGATACCCAAACGTTTTCTTATAAAGTCCCACTTGGTGAAATAGTTTTCCTCATTCAAATACAAATAACACAAAACGAAATAGCTCAAGGCAAAAGACAAGACAAGAGCTCTTCAATGGCGATCACACGCGCCTCCTTGGCCATTTGCCTCATCCTCTCTTTGGTTACCATAGCCACAGCCGATTACTACTCTCCCTCATCTCCTCCGGTTTACAAATCACCGGAACACAAACCCACGCTTCCGTCTCCGGTTTACACCCCACCCGCCTACAACCCAACTCTTCCACCTCCGGTTTACACTCCCCCGGTTCACAAGCCCACACTCCCACCTCCGGTTTACACACCACCAGCTTACAAGCCCACCCTCCCACCTCCGGTTTACACTCCACCGGTTTACAAGCCTACCCTCCCTCCTCCAGTATACTACACCTCACCGGTTTACAAGCATACACCCTCACCTCCGGTTTACACTAAGCCAACTATCCCACCTCCGGTTTACACCCCTCCGGTATACAAGCATACCCCCTCACCTCCGGTTTACACTAAGCCAACTATCCCACCTCCGGTTTACACCCCACCGGTTTACAAGCCAACTCTCTCACCTCCGGTTTACACTAAGCCAACTATCCCACCTCCGGTTTACACTCCACCGGTTTACAAGCCAACTCTCTCACCTCCGGTTTACACTAAGCCAACTATCCCACCTCCGGTTTACACTCCACCGGTTTACAAGCCTACTCTCTCACCTCCGGTCTACAAAAAGTCTCCAAGCTATTCGTCTCCTCCTCCTCCATATGTACCAGAACCAACCTACACTCCACCCACCAAGCCATACGTCCCAGAGATTCTTAAGGCTGTTGATGGCATCATTCTATGCAAAAACGGCTACGAAACCTACCCTATTCTAGGTATATATACATTCTTAAGCCTCCCTGATTAAATAATTTGTTATAACAGCAAAATTGATAATTATATAACTTTCGGTTTATTAAATTCATGTAGGAGCAAAGGTAGAGATTGTGTGCTCTTATCCAGCATCATACGGGAAAAGCAAGAACGAGGTTGTGATCTACAGTGATCCAACTGACTCTAAGGGATACTTCCACGTGTCTTTGACCAATATCAAGGATCTAGCTTACTGTCGTGTCAAGCTTTACTTCTCTCCGGTCGAGACTTGCAAGAACCCGACCAATGTTAACAAGGGTCTCACAGGAGTTCCCTTGTCGTTGTACGCATACCGTTTCTACTCTGACAAGAACTTGAAGCTCTTTAGCGTCGGACCTTTCTACTACACCGGTCCCAAGGCTGCCCCCGCCACTCCCAAATACTGATCGTGATGATCACATTATGATGATGATGATGATTTTGCATGCATTACATAAGAGGTCGCTTTAATCAATTTATTATTTGGAAAATTTTCCGTTGAAAATGTTCTTTTGTTTGTTTGTTCCGATTTCATTTGATTCGTTGCATTACCAATGCAATCTATCCTTTTGGTTATGCTTTTCATTTCATGTAATAAAATTGTAAGAGTAAAATCTTTGTTTGGTTTATGCGACTACTTATATATGAGAAAATTAATTTAATGAGTGTTATTTTTCTTGGATGCTAAAAAGATATTTTTAATTTTGTGGCCATTGCATTAACACGTGTTTACTAAACACATAAACAACGATTTGTCTTGCTTTTAAAACCGAAAACATTAGTTTACGAGTCTAAGATCATCTCCAATGTATTTTCTTATTTTTAACTCTATCTCTATAATAGAAGTAAGTTTTCTCTATTTTTATTCCAATGTGTTTCTCTATTTTTTTTTCTAAAAAGTTTAACTCTATTTATAGGAGAAAAAATAGAGATTATCTATTCTCACCTTTATATATAGAGAAAAAAATAGAGATCTCTATTTAAGATGTGAGAATAGAGGTGGGTTGGAGTAGAAAATAGTGTTTAGAGGCAAATATAGAGGTATGTTGGAGATGCTCTAAAAGCATTTCCATCCGTGAGATTACTCAAAAAAGAGTGTTTGAGGAATAAAAAATATTATTGTTATTATGATTTTATTTTTCAATTAAATTTGAAACAATTAATTAAATTACACCAATTAAATTAAAACACTTGGTAAAATGACTTTTTAAGAGTGTCTCAAGAATTTTCGCAGGAGAAACGTGTTTCTTTCTATCTCCTCTTTTTTTTTTATTTTTTTTTTTATTTTAATTGTAAGACACTGGATAAGACATCTCCATTGGAGATAGTCTAATGCTCTAGTCATTTCCTAAAGATGGATTGCACGATAGATTTTTTTTTTTTTTTTCCCCTTCTAAATGTGTAAAAATTACACATGAGATGTTATATGAACAATCTTCTCGGCCAACAAAGCCTTCTATCTAATGAGGACCTACCTAAACAAAATCCAAACACTCTTTGAAAATAAAGCCGGTAGAACATCCTCCTTTCAGAGACAAAACTGCAAGGAATGGGAGACATGAATGAATCATGTTTAATTTAAATCGTGCAACCAAGTCTTCTCCTTCTTCTTTTTTTGTTAAAAATCGATCAAAATGCAACCAAATCTTGCTCTTGTATTATTGTATACTACGTAATAGGGACATAGACTTATTATTCTTGTATCGCCTTGTCAAATTCAATGCTGCAATTTTCATAATCATCGTGCACAAGTATCTTGCTGCACGATTATTTTAAGGTTAACTTAGTCGGCATTTTGACTTTTGTCCTCTTCAAATATGTGTTTATTATATACTAATGACGGCAACTTCTATCGATCTATTACAATTCATTTTGTTTAAAACAATAATGCTTTTATTATTATTTTTATATAAGATTTAATTATAATTCATTTATACATTCCAAACTCAAACCGGATCACTGGGCTCCACTCCTGAAATTGGGTAATTTGTTAAATTTCGATTTAGGTCTATTAATTTGAATGATGTTTTCCTTTGTCCTAAGTTTTAACAAAAGAGTATGGTTTATAGAAGGAAGATAGTCAAATATGTGATCAGTTTTTTCTTTTCGGTCGACATGTTTAATCATTACATATATGTATTGGTAATTTGTCCCCACAAATCAATTTGAAAATTGGAGACATGTGCTTGAGAAATAGCTTTTAAACTTAAAGCTGCCTCGTTGTTATAATTTGTTTACTATGAGATGAATCAGATTAAGTTCACAAAAAAAAAAAACAAAAAAAAAAGAGATGAATCAGATTCCACTTTCTTTACCCATGCACACCGCACGCGAGTCGGTCGGATGGTCCCTCTTAGACTCTTTGAGTTCATGTCCATGTCACTTTGTGTACGTGTCACTGAGTCAAAACTCCATCCTACCTAATACCACAATTGTGGTATATTAATATATCAATTAAGTTCTAAAAGTTGCTTTAATTGTAAATTGTAACTTGTAAGTAACCACTTTAGCCAAAAATCCTCAGCAATTTTGACGGATTTGCATTGTGTAATCATTTTCTCATAACACAATTATACATGCATGCCCTGAGAGTTTTACAATTGAAACAACATTAGACTAAAAACAGCAGATGACTTACGGTTTACAAATCGATACAATAGCATTTATGGCTAATATTTGGTTAAATTAATAATATAATGAATTATAATTACAGAAAATAAGATAAAATATCGATCAAATGTCTTCGTTGAACCGTCAATTACGTTTACTTATTGTAATTACATTTATCAAATCAACCCATTTTTAAGAGAAGAAGAAAAAAAACAAAGAGAATCGTTTTGGACTTTTGGTGGGAGAGCTTCGCTTAGCGATTTGTTTCTCTCTACTTAAACGACACCGTCTGGTATATACATTGTTCAAACGGCTCCGTTACTTTATAATTTATGATCTCACTTCCGTTCATTTTTTCCAAACGCCGTCTCTCTATGAAGCAAACGTCCCCACGATTGCCACGTGGATATCCAAAACGCCACGTGTTGTCTTCCATGCCAGTAATACGATTCTGCCCGCTTCCCCAGATTACCGGATCGGTTATCCCAATCTTCAGAATCCGAACCCCCGATATCGGGTCGGATTCCATCACTATCCAATTTTGTAATCAAATACTCCATAGCCTTTGTAATGAAGTCCGGGTATTCGACCCGTTATCTCCGGGTAGACCCGAATTAGAATCTTCAAATTCCCTGGGGATCTCCACAATTATACCGATTAAATCAATCGGTGCTCTCTCACAAGCTTCCATCGGAAACCTCACCGGGGACCCAGAGGAGGAAGACGGCGTCGAGGATTCGGATTCGTCCGATGATGAAGAACTTCCGGCTTCGGTATCTTCCACTGGTTTAACCGATGGGAACACGGCAGCAACCGGTTCGGATTCGGTAACCGGCTGTGCGGGTTGAACCGGAGCTCTACAAAGAGGACAACTTGATCTGGACCGGAACCACGTGTCGATACAATCAACATGGAACACGTGTCCGCATTTGGGAAGGACACGTCCTTCGTCGTCTTCTTCAAACTCCGATAAGCAAACAGAGCACTCCTCCAGTGGAGATTCATGGGTTTTAGCGGAGTAGACGAAGATCGGGATCTTCTCGAGCACCGTCGGATCAAGAGGAGATAGAGATGAGGAAGATTGAGTGGGGTCTCGAGCGGCGGCGAGTGATCGGAGGTGAGCACTGATACGGCGGCGAATACGGCGGTTTTGACGGCGGAACAACCATCTGGCGTAGCTGTGGAAACAGAGGATTAAAATGACGGCGAAGAAGAGGATGATGACGGAAGCAAGCATGATTTTGCCGTTGAGAGAGTAACGTGACGATCCATGGTTCATGTTTCCCCATATCGTCTTGCTACTGTCAAACATGTTTCCCATTGTTTTGAAGATAGATAGAGAGAGAATGAAGTGAGTGGGTGAAACGAAGAAGAAGAAGAAGAAGTAAACGAGAGAGTGGAAATGTGGATAATTCTGTGGGTTTGAATCTCTTTATTTATAGACAAATAATACTATATGAATTATTTGCTTCTCTTTACTTTATTTATTTCCCTCTTCTTTCTATATGTTTTTATTGTTGATTTTTTTTAACTCATGTAAGTATGTAACGTTTATACGAGTTTTATATATTGCTAAGAGCGAAAAATTTCATAAAGAAAGAGGGAAAATTAATATTTTCAAAAGTGATTAAAGCTTTTGCGACTTTTTTTGTGTTTTTATAGAACATCATATATTCGTCTAATAGCTACTTTACTTGAGCTTTAAACCCACTTGTTGGATGTGAGTTCTAATAAATATCGTGGAGACATTACTTTGAGCAAGTCTTTGACCGTAGTTTACTTTATGAGTTTTAAGTTTCCAAGTATAAAAAAACACATCACATGCAGTTTACCAAAAAAACAAATAAATGATCGTATACACATTTGTTAGAGCACATTGATAGATTATCTCATGCATGTCTCTAAACTGATTATTTAAGAAATTCATAAATATTTAGATAACAGAAATTACTAAAATTTGTGGATTATTTATGTAGAAAATCTTCTTTTTAAAAAAATTTATATAGAACACACGAATAGGCGAAGAAACTTAGAAACGCATGGTCCAAAGACTCCAAACCAATTGAAACGAAACTGAGAAACACATAACTAAATAAACCGGAAAAAAAAAAAAAAAAAAAAAAAAAAAAAAAAAAAAAAATATAAAATAAACCGAAAAGAACCATAAAATCTAGTAAGGAATAGCTTTTGGATTTCCATGAGTCATGGGACTTAAGCGTGGTCTTTCAAAAGTTTTTTTGCTTAAATGCTAAGAGAAAGACTGTCCCAATCTGGCGGCTCTTTATTTATTTCTTCTTTTTTATTTTTTTTGCTTTATTTCTTTCTTGTTTTCTCTCTCGAATTTTTCTTTTTCCCGTCAACTATAACTTTGTTCGGGGAAGTCTTTTTCAGAAAATGTCTTTAAGACCGTTTTACACATCAGAAACCTACTATTTTTTTTGTCGTGAAGAGTATTTTTAAATGGCCCTTCCTTGCTAACGACCTTTGATGCCTTCACCTTTTTCATGTCTTGTTTCTACTTTAAATAACATTGGAATTCTTCTCTCTTTTTCCCGTTCGTATTTCCACTTTCCTTCATTTTCAACACTATTACAATTATTATTTATTTTTATAATGATAAATAACATAATTTTTGGAAAATTGAATTCAATATCTAAGATCTTTCTAAGAACTTCGTAGGCCATTAACGGTTCAAAATGATTAGATGATACCACAACACCACTACACGAATATTCCAATTTAACCTTACTTTACGGTGGTCCAGTTTTGTAGAATATATAAGCATATAACAAAATCTTGTATGTAGGCTAGAGATTCACGTAGTACGATCGATTCGATTGCACAAGTCCCCACTAACAAACCCTCACATGCTTCTAAATATGTAACACCCAAACACATGAATTGATATCATGACTATCGTAATAAATTTTTTTTTTACTTTTGACATATAATTACAACATACTGATAGACAAAAATAGAAGTAACTAATTCAATGGAAAAAGCGTTGTCTAATTAATTAGACTTGTTTCTGCGTTGATAATCTATATTAAACCTGGTTGGTCAGTGAAATAATTTATGATAAGGTCGTCCATTGGTCAAAACATTCTACAACTTGAGAGAAAAACTGAAAAAAGCTACAATACATAAACCCATGTGCCGTGCTCGTGCGGGTTAACATGAAAATATCATACTTTATACGTCTGATGATAGTTACTCGTCTTCTACTTTATTTCAGTACAGTGCAACTTTCTTATTTCCTACACAAACTATATTATTATATTTTTAATTTAGCATAAAGTACTTTTTTTATATAACAAATTCTATCATAAAGTACCTAAAAATTTCAATTTGAATATCAATATGCAATACAGATTATCACCCTTTTTTTTATAAAAAGAAACACCATTGACAGGTTTATCCACCAAAATTGTATTAAAGCTGGCAGGTTTCTTAATAGTCAAGAAAAAGAGAGAAAATAAAAAGAAACATTTGAAAAAGAGTTGGAACGAAAGATGGATCATTCCGAAAAAGTAGTAATGGATTCATAAGTAAAAACAATAAAAACGAGTAAGAGTTTGTATTTCACAGCATTTAGAATACTGCTAGGCGCACATTAGGTGTTAGAATAGTGTTTAGCGTGTAGGCTGATTAATCGTCTTCTAAATGCATATTAGTTCGTGATTTCTATATCCAATGTTTTTGTTTGATCAAAACCGGCTAAACTTTAAGAAGCTCTGATATTCTACAATCAACGGAACCGTGTGAAAGTCGTAAATAAATGATGTAACAGCCAGTGAAGTTACACTTCGTTAGAAAAATCGTGGCCAGCTCATTCAGCTCCCTTTTTCGATTTGCTTTATTTATTTTCAACTTTAACTTTTTTTTAGTTTTTATTTATTTATTCTGAGAAAAAAAAAATGTGACAATAATTAATTAAATGGGAAATCAATAATAAACGTTTACCTGCTTTAAGCAAACAGAAAGGCAAAACGATACCAAGAGAAAAGATGATGAACATGTTATATTTTCTTCACAGAATGTTCTTTAAATTTGTATTCGATTTACTTTCATACGGTTTTGGTTACAGTTTGGTGAACATATGGACAAAAAATTCAGTTTATTTATTGTTATTCGTTTATGCAATGGATACGCAATGATTTAAGTTTAAAACCGTGACCTAACGAACAAGCCGTGAGGAAAAAGGAAAGAGTAACTTTTGTATGTGGATCAAAAAAATATATTGATAGTGAAAACCCAAAAGATAAATTACAAAAGGACATTTGATCTAATCCAAAACCGGATAATGTGCAGAAAAAGCGTTAAAAATCCAAATGAATCTTGTTAACATCCATGTTATTTCGTCGATATATTCAGTACGGAATCTCTGCCGACCAAAATTAAGCTCCTTTCCTTGTATTTTTATATCTTTTACCAAGATTCTGATTGAATCAACACCAATTACAGTAGGATCACGCGTAAGTCTTGTATATCAAGATTGAATCAACTCTAGTTACATTAATCTCCTAATGTTGCCCATCTTTGGTTTAAGGTTTATGCTCTAGATTAGTCGACCTATTTTCAAAAGATACTCCACTAAAGTTTTTTTTTGGTTTCATATACCAGCCAGTAGTAAAGTCTTTTGGTTTCATATACATAATTAATGTTCCTACCTTTAGGGTTTAAAACTAAATTAAGGGAATATGTATTTTATTGTTGAATAGAAGGAAACACAATGGTTCTAAATGGTTGCATTGTGAGAGGAATAATTTTAGATGAAAATAAGATTCCTTTCAAATTTTATCAGTTGAGATGAAAATGTAAAAAAGATTATTCATCCCATTTTTTCTTTATTTACTTTAGTTAGATGAAAGAAGAAGACAAATTTCAAGATTTTTATCATTAACTAAAGTCTAAAACAGAGATGAATAAGTTGGAGAGGAATAACACATTATTCATCTCATTTATTTCTCTCAATTTTTTCATCTTATTCATTTTAAGTGACAACCACATTGATCATGACACTTGAATGATATTGATATGAATAGCTTCAAGTTCATGAAAACCTTTTGTTACAAAAAAGAAAAAAGTATTCCCAAGAACAATAGAGCATTGCCAAAGGAAACTTGTGATTATTGAAATTTTATTAAATCTACATAAACCGTCAGAGAATTCTCAATGAAATTATAAAGACAAGGTGTTTTCATATTCATATTAGTTGAGTCAACTAAGTTGACCACAAAGGAAAAGCACGAAAAGCAAAAAGTAGTCTCATATTCCGGCGGATCGGAGAGCATACTCTTGTACCAATGCAGCAAACAACGACTGTCTCTCCAGTAAACGAACTGGACTATCATACTCTTTCGCTTTTCCTGCAAATATAACAACCGTTAAAAACTCCATTAATCCACCAAAATGGTAAACAACTTGTGTGTGTTCTGTTTTGTTACCTGCGTCTATGACAAGAACACGATCACAGTCCATAACTGTTGGAATCCTATGGGCAATGCTGATAATGGTACACTCCGCGAAATCCTCCCTGATGATCTTTTGGATCATAGCATCAGTCTGCGAATCAACGGACGCAGTTGCTTCATCTAGAAATAGAATCCTGCTTCGTTTCAGCATAACCCTTCCTAAACAGAGTAACTGTCTTTGACCAACACTCCAGTTCTCGCCATTATCCGCCACTGTGCCAAATATTCTCCAATGTTAATCTCAAGCAAAATCTGTCAGTCAAGCTTCAAACAAGTAGCTATAACTCACCGAGAGAATCGAGCTTCTCGGGCTTGGAAGAAACAACATCCTTAAGTTGACATCGCTCGAGACTCTATAAACCAAAGAAAAAACAGAGCAATTTTTATAAAATGTTGGATCAAGAATCGAATAAAAAGGTTTAAACTTTTAGACCTCTAACCTTCCAGATTTCTTCATCAGAGTATTTCTCTGTTGGATCAATGTTACTCCTTACTGTTCCTTCGAAGAGAACAGGTTCTTGAGGAATGATACCGAATCTTGACCTTAGATCATGAAGTCCTAAAGTGCAGATATCGATTCCGTCGATGATTATCTTGCCACCAGATGGCTCCACAAGTCTAAACAAGACCTGAATCAAAGTCGATTTGCCACTTCCTGTTCTTCCAACCACACCAATCTTATCCCCTCCTTTGATGTCTATTGTAAGTCCCTTGAGCACAAGAGGCGTGTTTGGTCTATACCGTACCTTGACATCTTCGAGACGTATGTTACCTTTGTATGGCCAATTTGGAGGTGGACGGCTCTCTTTGATCTCCCATTTCGCTTCCGATGGAATGTCAGTGAATTGTTTGATTCTTTCAACAGAAACCATCTTGTTCTCAATGAAACAGCTTAGATATATTGCCCAAAACAGAACACCGTTCAGCGATAGTCCGTAAGAAAGCGAAAGCCCAACATTCTCTGCATTGAAACCCAAGAAAATCATCATAAGGAAAACTAATGTTATGCTATTTAAACAAGCTTAGTAAGCC